CCTCTCACTCTACGCCAAGGGACAAAGACCTCAAAAAACCTCTCAGAAGTTTGTAGCTATCTGCTTATATACAGGGGCTTTGCCTTTTGTTTGACTTCTGCCTCCTGCTCCATTTTTCAGTCAAGAGAGTTTTGTGAATTGAAGAGTCCATGTCTCCAATAACGTATTGACTTAAGTAAAACATCACAGAGTCTTTCAATATCTAAGTCTCCTTGGCAAACTGGGCCGGAGGCAGGCAGGCTGGTAAGGAGCCCGTCTGCAACCATGCGAGCAGGGCGCACGGCTGCTCCTCTGCTTCCTGGCTTCCCCTGCTCCTGCCCTGGCCCCCCACCCACGCCGGCCCAGGAGGGTGGGGGGTCCCTGGGGTCAGCCACGCGGAAAGCATGGTGTCGGTCTTCCCGTGACGTGGGAACACCGTGCAAGAGGAGATGGCCCCTGCCAGGGCTCGGTGGCCCACAACACGTTGGACACATACACCAAAGACGAAGGTGGAGACTCCTGTCCAACCCAAGTTAAGGCCAGTGGAGACCTGGTGAAGTCCCTGCCTGGGTGGAAGTTGTCCTGGAACCGCCTCTTCCGGCCGCCTCACGTAGAACTGAACACCTGGCCACGTGAGGACTTCCCACCTCTCCGGCTATGGCTGCTGCCTCCTGTGAAATAGAAAGCCGGGAAGGCCTTGCCTTGCAGGGTCCCTTAACAGGCAATGGCCGTTTGCACCCCCAGCTCCTGGCGACCTCTGATCTGCTTCCTACCTTTGAAGACTTGCCTTTCCTAGAAATGGAAGCTTGCAATATGTGGTCTTCGGTGTCTGCTTTTACTTAGCATTAATATTTTTGAGGTTCATCCATATTGTTACAATTTTAAGTAGTGTGTTTTTCCTTTATTGCTGAATAGTATCCCATTGTATGAATGTGTCATATTTTATTTAGCCATTCACCAGTTGATGGACATTTGAATTGGTCCACTTTTGGGGTTATTACGAATCATGGCAGGAACATTTCTGTACAAGTTGTTGTTGTTTTAATTTTTGTATATTGAATTTACAGATGTATGCATTGGTTAATCCTTGTATGTGCCCTGACCAGGGAGTGAACCCACAACCTTGGTGTACCCAGATCATGCTCTAAACGACTAACCAGGTAACCAGCTACCTGGCCAGGGTGTGTGTACAAGTTTTTATGTGGACGTGTTTTTATTTCTATTGGGTAGATAACTAGTAGTGAAATTGCAGTTTTGTATACTATGTTCCACTTTTTTCTTTTAATGGCAAACTCAGACCTCTTTATTAGATTTAAGAGAGAGTACTTGATTAAAAAGCCAGCTTACAGAGACTAAAATTAATTGCAGTTGGTGGAGAAGTTTCTAATTGAAGTTCTTATTAACTGAGAATTAACCTTTTTTACTCATTTTTTAAACTTACCTAGCTAGACATTTTGCCAACCATTCAGTATTAGGTGTTAACTAAGCATCTTTGTTTTCCTTTACTCTTGCAAAAGATCATGACTATGAATATGTTTATTTAGTGCTTTGTAGCAAAGGGGACTGAAGATGATATACAGATAAAGGACATCCTTTGAGAGGTTTTTTTTTTGACTACTGAATTCCTGAAACTACATTGCTTAGTTTTACTCGTTTTTCTTTTAAAAAGAGAGAACAGGAAAAAAAAAAAAAGTGTGTGATACCTAGTTTTACGCATGGAAGGTCAACTTTTCACACTCCCAGATGTTGGGGATGGCGGCCCGAGGACTTCAAGGCTGGGAGATGGAGGCTGTACAACGCTCCATGGGAGTGAGGCACCTGGGAACGAAGGGAGGACTTGGAGCGAGGTCTGGATTTCCCGCGGTGACTAACAGAGATAAAGGGCATAAGCTTAGTATTGATGACCTTAAGGGAGATGGTGGTAGTGATGATCTAAAACTGAGAACTGAAGAAACACCTAAGTTCTTGTTAAATTCTATTGTTCATTCAAGTATGGGTTACTATACTTATTTTGAGCTTATTTATATTCATATCCCCACGTCCATGTTTTGAATAGCAATATTAGGATGCCATATTTTCTATTTTTTTTAAAAGAAAAATCAGACACTTTATTTGGGGAGTTATCTTGTAAAATCAAACCAGAAAAAAAAAAAAAAAGCAAAACCAAAAACAAAAACCAAAAAACAGGATCCCTTGGAGAAGGCTGACTCCAGGGATGGGGCACAGAAGCTGTAACTCGAGCCCAGCTCACTGTGTGCAAAGAAGGAAGGGCTCCAAGAATACTGGGGACATGTCAGGAGACAGACACGTCAGTTCTGAGCAATTTTACTATCAAAGTAGGTGATAATAAGAATGCATTTATAGTAATATAAACAGGGATCCATCAAGTCCATACTAATACAAATAAATGAATAAATAATGGTGAAAGGAGAGCTCTACCTTACCTTAGAACACTAACAAGTGGAGAAAGAATAATGTAAATTTTTTTAAATCACCATTTGGCTTTCATCATAGTAATACTTGATTCAGGCAAGAATCATCAATCTATGCTAAAATCAGTGGCTAAAAGCTTGGTTAAGAGAATAACAGGATATTTACATAGTTTCAAAGTATTTCCTAATAAAATACACGAACTGCTCATTAATTTACAAGCATAAAATACAAATGAACTAACTTCAGGATGGAAAGTTGGAAAACACGGTATTAACCAAGTAATAAAAGTTACCACCACCAGAAGCAGGATAAATTGACATGTGCCTTCTAACAAGATGCCTTGAGAACACAGCATTACTTCTTAAGTATTCTTAGCAAAAAATGAGTAATCCTTCAGGGGAATTCGACAAACCCAAACTGTAGGGTTTTCTACAAAGTGAGTGCCTTGTACTTTTATATAACTCCATACTTTATTTAGATTTCTTCAGTTTTTAGCTAATCTCCCTTTTTAGTTCTGGGATCCCACCTGAATGGTATGCATTCTTTATGGTAAAGTGTTAATATGTCAAATTACTCATTTTAGAAAACCAAGATTTTTTTTCATTATAGAAAGTTCATGTCATTTTTGAAATTTATCTGCTAAAAAGTCCTCCTAATAGTCTTAATCTGGTTTATGTTTTAAAAATTACAATGTTAAATCTATGTGAAAAGATATAAGGGACATCACGATTCTAGGTTACTAGTAATCGTTGCATGGTTAAGATTTATTCTGCCTGCATGTTTTTCCTGAGTAATTTATTTCCCATCTCATTGCAAGTACGACTATGTGGCTGTGGCATAATGATGCAACTCAGTTTCCTAGAAATTTGTTTAATTTACTTCATGGGCTCCTGCCTGTCTGCCTGTGTCTTTGGTAACCGTGTCCATGACCAAAAGAAAGAAAAGAAAAAGGAAGAGGCTTTCGTTTTGGAGGATTCAAGACCAATGGGACAGACACGCACGCACGCACGCACGCACGCACGCACGCACGCCCCCACTCGGGGTAGGTACTGTCACCACTGGCTCAGTGAGAATCTGATAGTCAAGGCTGTGACCACACGAATCTGAGGAAGTTAACTTCAAATCCCAACTATGCTCTCACTTGCAGCCTAACCTTGAGCAGAAGATTCAACCACCTTCAACTTCGAGAAAATGGGGAGATATTTCTACCTTTCAGGACTGTTACGCAGCACAGTGAGATAAGGCACATGAAGCAACTAGCATAGTCCTGACATGTAACAGTTAAGCCCTTATCACTAATGTTGGCTGCTATCATTACAGCATATACACAGCTGGAAACTTTAATACAAAGGGGTTAGGGGACATCCAACCCCAGTGTATGAAGAGCAAAAGTCAGGGTCTGTTAGCCCTTTACTTAGGAATGTGAATCACACTTCACTTCTGTTTCTAGTAGCCCCATTCTCAGTAGCTGCCTTCCACGATTTCTCGCCCCCAGTGAGAAATCTTACTCTGAACACTCACTGTCCATCGCCATGATACTCACACTTTTAAATTAAAGCATTACGTCCTCACAAATACATTTCTCAAGCTCAAAGCTAACTTTGTGCTTGAAATACTATAGAATTTGCCAAATCATTTGGGGTGGTGATGAAGATAAAGATATTGACTACACTGTAAAGATAAGAATTCTGAACAAGAAAACAGCAGAATTTGGGGGAAATAATAGGAGCAAAAAAGTTGCTTTGAGCAACAGAAATGAAGAATGATGAATCACTTTACTTTTGATGTAGCCTCACAACCCACACCCAAAATACTCTCAGCAAAACCACAGCCACCGCCTAGCCTCTCTGTCATTACCTGTCTTCCCTGCTAGAAAGCTGGGTCTCCCTTTTAATTCCTATCAAGTTTATTGAATACAGGATTACTCACGGTCAATTCTTTTTACTAGTTGTGTTTGCCCTTGTAGTTTTACTCCAAAAGTTATTTATAGAGCTCTGTAAACATGCTACTATTTATGCATAGCGTTGTGGAGTTTATAAAGATGGGTAAGATAGTACAGCTTTGCCTTAAAACAATCCCAACGGGGATGAGCAAGATATGACCCGAGGGTCAAGTCTAGCCACACCATTTGTTTACATGTTGTCTGCGGCTGCTTTTTACCATTAACATAAGAGCTGAACTGTTGTGACCAAGATCAATGTTTTTCAAAGCTGAAAATATTTATCATTTTGATCCTGTACAGAAAAAGTATGCCAATCTCTATAGGAGATGCAAGTATAACAAAAATGCCCCATTTTACTAAATGCCAATTCAAAAATGTTAACTGAAGAATTACAAGAATTCAAAAGGTTGGAGAGGTCGCTTGCAACAGGGTTGTTTTAAGAAGACTTTTGGGAGGTGCCAACAGAAACAGAACTAAAACTATGAGAATAGAGATGGATTAAAAGTTTCTGAGCAACAAAAAATGATGTAAAAATGTGAAGCAAGGAAAAAGCAAGATAGAGGATGGAGTTTGCCAATCAGTTTGGGCACAGACTCTCTAATGAAGATTTGCAAAGGTCTGTTCATCTTTACAGTTCTTCTAATCCGCATGTGTTCTCTAGAAATCACATTCCATATGCCTTTAGGATGTCTCCTAATTATTCGCTTCCTTTCCAGCTGGTAACCCCACTCTAAAGAGACAAGCTCACAGATAAGAATTTAGTGACAAGTAAACATTATAATTAATGGTATTCTCTGAAAGGGTGCTTTCAGTTAACCTTCTTAATCTTTTCTGTTATTTGATATTTATATTTATTTGGCACCAAGAGAATGAGATACTCTTTTCCTTCCAAAACAAACCACGTGAATATGCAACATATTAATTTGCAAAGATTATGACTGTGTTGCTCTTCTCATTTGTGTGCATTTATTTTTCCCAAAGTTGCATGAAGCAAAAAAGCTAGACAGATGAGAGGGACTTCTAGTCTTAAAAAAATCATTTGGTTAAATCAGAGAGGATATATTACATTAATAGGGGAGCTATTTCAAAAGGCTAAAAAAATGAAGTTTACAGCAAAAAAATGTTGTTAGGAAGACAATTTATGCTTACACACACTCACATATATATAAAAATACAGGCTCAATATTAAAAGGTGCTGCTGTATTACCTTTTAGCCAGTTATCCAGATATGGCTACATTTTCATATCCTGCTTTATGTATTTACAAGGTAGGAGAACTATGTACCATAGTTTAAAAAACAAACAAAAAAACAAAACAAAAATAAAACCCCAAACTAGTATTAGAGAAAATGAATATCTTGTTTACCAATGTGTACATTTGAAAATAAATATATACAATATTTCAAAACAAAACCCTTCAAGACCATATTTAAGCAATGACATCCAAGGAATTCTGACACCATGTAACATTTAGGATATATGGTATCTTGAAGATTAAATGTGCTCTCTTGCTTGTTACTCTGAAATCTTCATTAGACAAGGTTGCTTCTAAGGTAGTTTTCTTCAGAGCCAAACCCCTTGACGGGCCAAACTCAGTTTCATTTTCTCCAGTACTGCAAAAATTAATAGCAAATAAAGAAACAGAAAATAATTAGCTTCATTATTCACAAAGAAAGATAAACAATAGTCTATAGTTTTATCAAATACTTAGAAAGAGAGGACCACATATTTCTTTTATAGGAAAAATAGAGCCCTTAGCTAATTCCAGTCCTTTTGAAAACAAAGTTCTATTTTTTAAAAAAAGTGAAATAATTAGTTTATTAAAGGCTATGAAGAGGATTCCAGTTAACCACAATGTACAAGATTCCTGAGACTGGGCTTAAAAAATAGTTTGTATGAGAAAATATTTTAGAGAAGGAATGTTTCCTGACTGTAAACTCCAAATGACCCACTCATCATGACATGGCTAAAATCCCACTGAATTCTGCAGGGACAGATAATCACTATTATGAGAAGTGAGCTGAGTTCTTGGTGCAGTCTTTTTAGAGAGGCTGTGAAAACCTGTAGTACATTCCACACACAGTCACTTCTACAGATACTTCATCCCACAACCACTTCACTCCAGAAAAGGTCTGGAAGAAAGTCCACGGGAGTAGTCCTGATAGAATAAGACAGGCCCAGTCAACCATTATTTGGGAACCAACACATTAACAGTGATCAATATTAAAATACTAAGTAGAAATTAAAGAAACCAACATTTATAGCACCTATTTTGTGCTGGGCACCCTCCTAGTTACTTCACAAAAGGTTTATGAAGAAGTGGCACTTCCCTCCCCACATTATTAGCGTCTCAAATTTCACGTTCAGTGAAATTGATAGAAAGCTACCTATTACTTTTGAGGACTATTTAATGCAAAAATAATCAGCAGCAGTTAAAGGTTGTCTTTAACATATACAGAAGCTATCAATCACCCACCCTTTCAGTAAGGGCAACTCTGATCGCTTTGTCTGGGTGAACAGACGCTGAATCATCCACACCTCACGCGCCCTCTTGTTCGATGCCATACATGCCGGCACCGTCTCAGAGGAATGGAGAATGTTGTTTCTGTGTAACAAAACTGTGTTTCTGTGAACTTCACCTCATTATTACTCTGAGAAAAAACATGATGGGAAGAAACCCAGACGAATGTGTTTGCATATGTGCACATGTGTGTGAAAATGTGAAAGACGCTGATTTTAATTTGATACAAATTAAAGAATGTGGTAAGATTTATTTTTAATGTTAATAAAAGAAATGTAATACGCAATTTGAAAAGTTGTTTGATGTTTTCTTAAAGGCAATATCAGAGAGAATGAACTTCTCAAACAGTCCTCGGCACTTGTATAAAGCCACACACACTCGACCGGTGCCTACAGTGTCGCAGGAATAGGCAGGTTCTGTGACAGACTCCAAGTTACTGCAGACAAAATGTTTACACACAGAAAGAGTCGGGACACACACACCAAAAAGTGGGCAAATGGGTCGGGGGCTCGTCCTAGGCAACGAGCACAGGGGTACTGCTTGGTCGGGGGGAGCCATTGAGGGGTATTACTGGGTATGAGGAGTTGTGTGGAAAGGTCATCAGAGCTACAAAGAAGGTTCTTTTTGATTGCTGGTAGAAGAAGATAAAAAGTTAAAATTTCAGGTTAAAGTCAAATTGTGAAGAATCCTCACTGACATGTGAGAAAGTCTAAAAACCCTGGAAACAATGAAAAACCGCGCAAGTATCTATGTATGCTTGTGTGAGAGAAATGCTGCTACTGAACAGATGGCTCTAATATATTTCTCAAATACTTCAAAGTGTCTGTGTCTGTGCAAAACCAGAGAAAAAATTAGTGGTAACTGTGTAGCAGAGGCAGCTCTAAATATTCAACCCCATGCACACGTGAAGACTTTAGACAACAGGGTCCGGTCTAACACAGAGGGGCAGGGGGACGGCAGCGTAACACCCGGCCGTCACTGAGGCAAGCAGGCAAGTCTTACCATGGGTTCCATTTAGGGGTGTTTGAAAACTCCCTCTGGAGAAGTTAAGGAAATTAAATTTATGTAGAAGAAAAATAAATTGCAGGACACTGTAGCTGAAAAATTACGGGGCATTCTGCTGACTGCTGCTATTACAATTATTAACTAATTTTAAGACCTCCAAGCATTTGCTGTGCACGGTGCTGACCGAGCGCGACAGGGAGCGCGGGGGGTTGATAAGGCTCAAGGCTGGTTTGGTCAACGTGAAAAGCAAGATGTTAGGCCATGTTTATCATACTTGTCTCAGATTAACTGTTTCCAATGCCTCCTTTGGTATCGTATTATATTGACTGCACAGCTTTTTTTTCTTTTGATGATCAGGTGAAAGGCTAAGGAAAGTTAAAAGATCATATTTAAGATTTAAAAGTATCCTTTTAAAAACTAGCTATTTGCAATGAAATTTATTCATATCTAATAAAGCTTAAATGTAGAATGGGAAACATTTATAAGCTACTGTATATTTCTATAACTCAGGGTGTGAGTTTGAATCTGGGTTTTGTCACCTATTAACCTTGAGAACTTGGGCAAGTTATTCATCCTGTCTAAGCCCGTTTTCTCACCTGTAAAACAGGCCCGGTGATACACCTACTTCACAGGAGTGAGGATTCAGGGAGGTAAAACAGAGAATATATTTTATATAATCCTGGCACATTTAAGTGCTGAAGATGCTGTTATTGTTGCTGCTACTGTTGCTTCTTTGCTGCTGCTGTTCTTATTCCTCCCAGGATAATTGGAATAAATTAGGAATAGATCAAGACACAAAATGATACAAAATAGTTTTGTATGATATGCGGTTTTATGTATTTATTTAAGCCACTGGTCTGAGAATTATGTGACTCTTTAGAAAATTGTTTACTAAATTAAAAAGCATTTGATTTTAGAGCAGAATTTCTTTTCCTTCCACAGAATTCAATGCATTTTGTTTTAGTCAATGAAATTTTTACATTGCTGTTCTTTATTCCTAAAGGTAAAATAAGGTCCATATAACACAAAGTCAGAAATGATGCTCTATTCTCTTCTCCTTCGGGCATCTTTTTCATCTCTACCTTTCAAACATCCTACACTGGGCTTAGGTGAAACAGGAATATAAATACACAAAACTACTCAAGGAAAGCTTTTCAAAAAGCAACAACACAGGAAGCTTTTCCTCCTAGTTCGGTACTGATGGCAAAAACAAAACAAACAAACAAACAAACAAAAGACCCCCACTGTTTCTTTGAGAGGAAGACAGGGCAGATGACTTGTGCTTAGAGGCCATGGCAGACAAAAAAACAGAAGCAGCAACACTGGAATCACACGCAGCATGGTAAGATGTCCTGTCACGGGAGCTCTAGGGATCTGAAAAGGGGAGCTCCTCCCACATTCATTAGAGGACATATGCTCTTCAGAGGAAATGTCAGGCAGAATAAGCATACCCTTTTCCTTCTTTTATTGTTTTATTTTAAATCTCCCCATATAGATTCCCTTCAGTTACGAAAACATAAAACGTGACTACACATTCATGTGCCCCTCTCTGGGGACCTGTGCTTTCCCTCCTTAAATACCACAGGGTTATGCAAGTATTCTTGCCAAATGGACAGCAGTGATGAGTTCTTAGCATCTTAGGTAAACTTCGTGAACCCAATCTGTTCTTATTTTTTTATGCTCAGTCTGGAAAAACACATCTCTAACTCTGGTTAGTCTACCAAGATTCAATTAGTTAATGAGATTTAATATGTATTAAGATGGATGGGAACCACATCCTGTTCTCCAGACTTCGGCCATCAGTCACTCAGTGAGGAGAGACACAGGCAGGCAAGAGAAGAAACGGGAGACACGGGCTGCGGCGTGAGGGCTCCAGTTTTAGAGCCGTTAGTGACCCAGACTGAGTGACCTCTACCGTTCTGTGCAGGACAGACTAGAGAGCCCATTAAAGATCATTTCAGCAGGGAGAAGAGATCTGATGATGTAATTTCAAAGACAGTGACCCAAATAAAAGTGTTTTTCAACGGAGATTTTGTACCACTAATAGGATGTTGCTAGGCAGCGAATATTGCAGTGTTTAATCTCTACCCTTTCCAGGGAATGGCATGATGGAAGAAAATAAAATAAATTTCAGCATTTCAAATAATAGTTGGTTCTGGCAATTTTTAGGTTGTCTTGTAGAATATTGGTTCTTTTACACTGAAACAACTATAACTACTTTTTTAACATTTCTATCAGTCTACCTCCATTTTTTAAAAGCTGAGTTCTATAATCCACAGTAATGAATGGGACGGCACTAAAATTTGCATATCAATTAGCAATATGCATTCTTAAAATAAATGCCATGAGTGACAAAAGATGTTGGTCATCAGAATTTGAGTGTGCATGTGACTTAATTAGTATCAATACTTAGAAAATACATTTAGGAATATAAAAGTTTCAAAAAGGAATAAACTTTAGAGACGTTAAGAACCAGGTACTTCCATAATCTTGTAATTTGATCAGACTTATGTGAAGTTAAGACCTCATTCAGTATCTCTTGTACTCTTCACTACCTAATCAAGTGCCAATGAAATTTACCAACCTTAGGTTACTCTTATTTTGATATTGTTTCAGTGGCACAATATTATGGGTGTAGGTAACATATGTAAAAAAAGCCTAAAAAATAACATGAGCATTTTCAAGTTCATTTCTTAGGATAAAGAATATGGGACTCTGGTAAAGAAAACCTGTATTTGATATGTGAGGAAATGATTTTTTTTTAAGGTTTTATTTTTATTTTCAGAGAGAAGTGAAGGGAGGGAGAAAAAGGGAAAGAAACATCGATGTGTGAGGGAAACACTGACTGGGTGCCTCTGCCACACCCGCAACCAGGGACCTGGGCTGCAATCCAGGCATGCGCCCTGACTGGGAATCGAACAGGCGACTTTTTGGTTCACAGGCCAGTGCTCAATCCACTGAGCCACAGCAGCCAGGGCAAAACAATTTTTTCATGTGGTTTAGCTTGTCATCTATAAAAGGGGATAAGGCTAAAACTCACTTAGATGGTTATAGTGAGCATTAAATGATATTAAAAAATGGGAAAGTACTATATGAAGTAAAAAGTTCAAATAAATAGTGGCTATTTTCTCAGATACTGTTAAAAATGGAGAGCTGTGATATCTAAAAAAATGTATCTCCATAAATATCCACGCTGCATTAAAGCTCCACTTTTACCAGACTAGAACAATTGCTGGAATCATCTAGTTATTTGCTCTTAACACATATGCTCATTGTTATTGCCTTGATTGTCTACAATACTTTGTTTTCAAGGATATATCCTAGTCCAAAAGAATTTGTAACAATAAGGCTGAAGTTATTCAGAATTTCTATATCATATCTATTTTACTGAGTAACTGGAAAATGGGACTCTAGGAAATGGACTTAATGCTTCCTTCCAAGAAATATAATCATCTATTAGTTAATGGTTATAAAATGATCTTTCCCATGTCTAAATTAAGAGAATTCCCATCTCTATTACTAATTCATCATTCATAGTCACATCTTCTCTGTGAATAGAAAAGGTACCAGGCAAGAACTGTCATTTATGAACAACTTCATAATTTAACTACTGGGGAGGGGGATTTTCTTTCTTTAGTTTGTGTGGTGGCCAATATTAGCTTTGTATATGGAAAGCAATGAACTTTTGATACATCTCCAATATTAGATTAAATTTACATTTGTTTTTACCTCGATATCAATTGCATTATAAACATGGACACTGAGGTAGAGATATTGGTAAACCAAGGTTCCTTTATTACTACCTCCCTAAATAACTGTATGGTTCCTTTTTTATCAGGCTCTTCCTCTCCTTTATTTTTAATACAGAATTAAGCAAAAATAGACCTTCCAATCTTAGATCTAGCTAGCAAAATGATACATACACCTTATGCAAATTGACCACAGAATTTCAAAACCAGACCACTAGTTCATTTTATGGCACTTGAAAGTCCAGATCTGAAAAGTTGGAGCGTATTAGATGAGTGGCAGTTATGTCTTCAAAGATGACTTACTTAATTCCTCTCCTCTTTGCATATGCCCCCTCTCCTCCCATCGAGGGGTAGAATCTCTTTCTCCTCCCTGTGAACCTGGCCTGACCCTGTGACATGTTTTAAGAGACTTTCTGCTTCTGCTCTCCTGGTCTCTTGGGGAAGCCAGGTGCCATGCAGGAGACCAGCAGCTGGGGCTTGAGTGTTGTATGGTTAGACTACTGCTAGCCCAGGAAAAGGTCAAAATTCACAATTCCAAGTACAGTTTCTCCTGAATGTGTATCACTTTTGCACCATCATGAAGCTGAAAAATCTTTAGTCAGGCCATCATAAGCTGGGGACCTTCTGTAGCTTAAAATTTTAGCAGTGAGAAAATGATAGGAAAGGATAATTTGAGGAATGATTAAGGACCCAAACAGGCTTGGTGACATACTGGATGCTGGGTGAGGGAGAAGTCCAAGCAGACAGTCTCTGAGGTTGGGAAATTAGTAAAACTATTATCAGCTGTGTTAGGAGGTCAGGAAGGGGTTCACGAGGGGGCATGCGAAGGTGTGGGGGAGGAAACAGGCCTAATTTTTCTGTTTGCTAACCATTTTCATCATCATCACTATGAAATTCGTAATTAAGATAGGTTTTAAATCTGAGGTTTTTCATCATTGGCTAGTGTGAAGAGGTCCTCCCTCAGTCAGACATTTTTATGAAAGATTTGCTAACAGTAAGTCTCTAGACAGATCTTTTCCGGGTGTGATATGCATTGTTTTTCTAAGTTTCAAATTTCTTTCCTACAACTTCACCATTCACTAGAACCTAACAAGTGTTGAAGTCTTGTTTGCCAAGGCCTCTACTAAACCCAAAATCATTCTCAGGAGAGGTTTATAATCGCCATAAAGGAGGAAGACACCAATGTTGATGCTCCATAATTTACTACACAATTTTACATTCCACTAAGAAAATTTAAGTGGAATGTTTCAGAATTAATTGTGCATGGAACCTGTTCACATCAACTGGCTGGTTCAAGATGTTACGAGGTCTTGAATAAACAAACGAATAAACAAAACACCAACCAAACAAAAAAGCCCAGAAAAGACATCAGTTGGAGCAAGAAATGTATGGCTCTCCGAGGACTTTGCAGCAGCACCTGGAGGAGCTGAGATTGCTGCTTGGCCTTCAGGGGTGCATCTTACCTGGGCGAACTTGTGGATCTGCTCCACCACCGCAGCAAACACGGCATGGACACTTTCATCGATCAGGCTCTGCATGTAATGCACCGCCTCTTCGTCAGACAGGTCTAGACGGAATTTATCCTGAACCTGCAACGCCACACACTATTAGTCTTTTGAACAAAGAAAAAAAGACATATTTTGAACAGACAGAATTAAACTGATGTAGACATTACACTATATTATGAGCTATTTCTATCCTGAAGTAATCCATAATTTATAAGGAGTTCTGAATACTGTTCATTTGACTGTGGAAGTTTACTGTAGATAAAAAAAAAGTTCTTTTAAAGTGTGCTTTGTTTTCTTGCATTTCAAATCTGGAACTACTAAGTTTTAATGAACTAAGTTTATTATGTTTATTGATAATCCCCTTTACTTTTTTCCTGTTCTTCATTGTGAAATGGATATAGCAAGGTGAAATTATATTTGTTAAATATGGGTGGTTGTTAATGGGTGTTTGTTACATAAGCACTTGCATTTTTTATGCTTTAGTCATGTTTCATATAAAAATTATCAAAAAAACCCTATTATTATCATTCTGCTCATTGTTGGAAATTAGTCTATCTACTATGCTTTAGTTATACCAGCACTATAAATTTTGCTTTTATCACTACGTATTATTTTTATTAGACTACTTGGATAATTCTGTCCAAAATTTTTAATGACTTAAAACAACATCTGAACGAACTTCTCATACCACCAAGCAACAAGTGGCATACTAACCAACTCTCAGTAACTCACTGATGTGTGATTAATGATTATAGGTTTTAAGTCGTGCCTGCATCCCACATTTTTGGGCAATTGTCTTTTCTAAGAAATCAATAATTCTGATAAACAAAAATATACATTCAATATATAAATAATCAGTTTCCAAAAAATTAAACAAATATATTAAAAAAAGTTACAGAAACAATAAAATTTTTTTGCACTTTGTTATGATTACTCAAACAATTTTAGTGATCTGTACCCTTCTGAAGATTTCGGCCTCAAAAGTGCTATTCTATTTCTCTACCTGGCTTCCATTCATTATGCCAACGTAAAAAATTCCCAAGTAGTAAGACTTCAAAGTAGTGTCAGCAATTGTTATTTCATCAAAGCATAACAATCTACTTCTACTTCTTTAAAAAGCCAACCAATATGAAACAAATTTTAGCCTTTCCAGCCTAACTTCCCAATATTCTTATGAGCTTATCATCAATTTATGATGCAATTGATTACATCATTTTTGATAAAACAATAGAAAGCAAAACTTTTCTAAAATACCCTTTTGGGGAAAAATATGGTATAGTAGCTTTTTCAGGGTTCACTTAAAGTAGAATGCACCGCTTGGGAGTACTAGTCCAAAGAAAAATAACAAATGGACATGTTTTTTTCCTTTACAAAATAATTTGCTTCATATGTTGAAAACTAGTGCTATTGAGATAGCTGGTAACAAAAGGGCACTGTCCTTAATAAAAGCTTTATTTTCTAAAAGAGAAACAAAGATCTAATAGGAACAAGAACATAACCTAATTGGCAGAAGAAATTGGAAGACTCAGTTTGACAAATACGTTAGAACTTTCTTAAATGGTTTCTGAACACGAGTGAAGCCAGGAAAAAGTGAACACGTGACAGAGATAAATGGGTTTAAAATACACAGCAAAAGAGACCCGAAATATGGCAATGCAAAAGGGAAAAAAAAAAAAAAAAAAGAAATCTGGGCAGTCATCAATTATGGCTAAGGAAATTTTCATCAACCACTTACTATTTCTTGGTGGATTATCTTTAGTCAATAAAAAAATAAATAAATAGTCCATTTCCTATGAGGGAATAAAGGCGATTACTGAAATTCCGATTGCTGGATAAAATAATAAATAAAATCCTAATAAGAGTATAATTTTCTTAAATGGTCAAGTATTTTAATTAAAATCCCTCCCACTGTTTGCCAAAGACTTATAAAATTAGGTAAAAAACATTAGCCTCATTGATGTTTGCAATGGTCTGAGTATTTGTGCCTCCCCCAAATCCATGTTGAAACACGAACGTCCAATGCAGTGGTATCAGAAAGCAGATGCTTTGGAAGCATTTAGGTCGGGAGGGCGAACGCCTCATGAACGGGATTAGCGCTCTTATAAAAGAGGTCCTACATCCTTCCACCATGTGAAGCTACAACAAGAGGCCTTCAACATCAAACGGTCCTTCACTTGATGATGCTGGCCACCTCAGTTTCGGCTCTCCAGCCTCCAGAACCGTAAGAAATAAACGGCAGTTGTTTATAAGCCACCCAGGCTCTGGAGTTTTGTTATAGTAGCCCGAAGAGACTAAGACAATGTTCAGCCCACAAGGGTTTCTTTCTAATAATGTGCAGGAGCAGTTATGTCAGAACTCAGGGCTTTGGGGCCAGTTAATATTTTCGACCACCAGAGAAATTCCACCCTTGACACCGCTACTGCTCTTCAGTAATTTTATACTTCTCCAAGTTAAAAAACTGCACTATCTTTCTTTTGAAGTTCAATATTGATAATCATTCTGATATTTAAGATCACCTTATGGTATTTCTGAATAAATAAAGTGCCTCCCTTTCAATGAATCCAGTCAGAAATTAATTAGGACAAAAATCTTCAAATCTGTGACCCTTCCTCTCATCTCTGGCTGAAAACTCAAGGTAAGAGAGTTCTCAATAACTGTTCATCTACATGACAGTTTTCCTCTGCTCTCTTTGCAGGCTGCGTAGAAAAGCTGGTCTCTACTCTCCTGATAGAGTTAGAAACCCTGTAACCATGGGTATGAATGGGAAGCATAAAGAAGAGCTGTTTTCTCCTATATTAGAAATTTTTGTTTCTGATCCTTACTATGCTTAACCTGGGAGCCCCAGGAATCAGGTATCCCATTAAGAGTAGTAAAGAGCTAAACTTTTCAGGGCAAGGAGTAAGGGCTGCGGTAGGAAGCTTTCTCTCCACACAGTGACGTGTTCATGTGGCTGTGGCCGTGGGTGTGGACAGGGAAAAGGACAGAGCTGGCCGCAGTGGACTTGAGAGGCTGTTGTACTCTGAATTATGGAACACATTATACACAAGGCCTCTTTGTTAATTTGTGTTACATAAGAATCTAGGGGCCAGGACAAAAAGGGTAAAGGGGTTTCTAAAACCTTAAATGAGACGAGACTGCGATATCCAAGGATGTATAAAAAATTTACCTTTTTCACAGTTTTATCTGGTTCAAGAGCAATATCTGGAATGTTTGCATCCACCATCAAGGAAAACAAGTTCAAGATTAGATTAGAATACCTGAAGGAGAATGGGAAAGAAAAAAAATGCATTGGAATTCTGCAGTTCTCACATCAAGTACGCTCCTAGAAATAGTGGCACACGGATCTTTGTAACGGTATCACTCCTATGGAAAATAGAATGTGAGACTATTCACCAGGTGTTTCAATGAAAAGCAAGCCTTGAAAAAATATCTTATTCTGGGGTCTTGATATAATACCATTTCTAGGTCCCAAATCACGGAACAAGCTTTTTTTCAGTTTTTTAGAGAGTATATTCTTTTTGATGGAGACTAAGGAGAATACACCTTATGCCTAATTAGCATTTTACTAAGCACTGAAAGATCTTTCTTTACTAAGTGATGACAAGAATCTGCCACTTTTAAGACGACCTCAGTGCCACGGGTAAATGAATGAGAGAGAAATACCGCCATCCCACTCACCATTTAGGAGTGTCCTCCAAGGATAGTCACCATTTTAGAAACTACAGTGACTGGTCTGGATACAAGCAATGCTAAATGAAGGAGAAAACAGCTGGTGCCCGACTGTATGGAAAACGGGCAAGATATTTACACAATATTATTTTGGGTTATGCTGACCCGACAGGAACTAAAGGTTTACCCGCGTCACCAACCCTCAGGCTTTTCCTCTCCCTCCAAACAAAGAGACGAATGTTACTGTTCTTAATGTTCATTCCCAGAGGCGTGGCCCTGTGGGGAAAGGGGAAAGAAAGCGTGCACAGGGCACGACCCGCCTCCTGTCCCAGAATACTCTCCTCTCGGACAGTGCGCTCTCAGGGGCCCACGGGCACTCCAGTGATAAAGGGAGATTCAGGCTTGACTCTGGAGATGCAAGTGAGTAAGGAAAGCTTTGGTTTTAGGCAATAAAGGCTTTTTATATGGTCTCAGGAGAAGTGTCAACACAAGTGCCTTGCGCTGTCTTCTCTAGCGGATGGAGGTCAGGATTTAGGAGATGCAGAACCTTTTTTCCAGCCATCTCCCTGCCCATAATATAAAAAAAGCACAGCTTCTTACATAAAGACTATTTAATCCTGGAACTGTAATGATAATAGAACTTACAGACAAAAAATGACTAGCCATATAAACTTCCAGTTCCCTATTTTATCATCATTTTTGAATTTTATATTGCCCATGAAAATCAAAAGGGAGTATAATGAAAATTTCTACCTGATGGAATCTGCTAATCAGGTTTGGACAAAAATGGTTAAGGAGAGAGTTAAGGGGAAAAGAGATCCAGAACCTTATACTGATAATGGAAGTTCTACATAGTTCAATATGTGGAGGGAGACAGAAGAGGAAAGAAACCGGCAAAGGAGCAGAAGCGGCCAGTAGGGAAAAAGGAAACAGCAGAGTAGACTACACCAAATGTCAGAAAGCTTTTAGAAACAAAGACGTGAGCAACTATGTCAAAGATGCTAGGAGCAAAAATGGCACCTAGACTTGATATAGGTGGACCTGTTTCGCTTTATAAAGTTAGTTTCGATGGCAGAGTAAGAGTGGAAGCCTCACTAGAGAGGGCTGAAGGAAGACAAGGAGGCAAGTAAGCAGAGGCACTGAGAGCAGAACTTTTTAAAGTAGCTGTGCTGTGAAGGAGAGTGAAGAAAAGGGCAGCAGCACAGCACTCAGCAGCATCCCTGGCCTCCCCGCACCCCGCTGCGACACCCGCTACGCTCCAGGCACTGCCAACTGCGCTTGTGGGTTGGGGGAGGTGGAGTGCACACTAGTTCCCAGTTGAGAGCCACTGACTTAAAACCAATAGTAAAAACACTATGACTGTTGGATAACCTTCAGTAACATATAGCTGTTACACAGCACGCATGAAATAGGAATAGACAATTCTAATTAGAGTTGGAGTTTCAGCAAGTGAGATTGCAGGACTGGATAAAAACCACCTAAGAGGAGTTTAGAGGAAGGGCAGTGAGAATAACAATAATTTGGGGCCATAAAATTCAATGGGAAAAGGAGAAAAGTGAGAATAGGAGATAGATTTCGTAAGCCGGTCGGATGACAAGACTCGAAGTTACCAATGAGGTTGAAGACTTGTAGGAATGAGGACACATCCAAAAAGAGCTGTAAGGGCAGGCACTGGTTAGAGCAGCGGTCCCCAACCTTTCTGGCACCAGGGACTGGTTTCGTGGAAGACAATTTTTCCACGGAAGACCAGGGCAAAGGGGGAGATGGGCAGAGTGGGGTGGTTTCAGGATGATTTAAGCACATTACATTCAAGCTCACCTCCTTCTGCGCTGCCCAGTTCCTAACAGGCTCGGACCAGTACGGGTCGCAGCCCGGAGGCTGCGGATCTCTGGGTTAGAGAGTGTAAAGCTTGGGATCAAATGTTGGAGGGGCAAATTCACCAGTATTGATGAAGGGAGTGGCCAAGGTTGGGGCTAAATGAAGAAGACAAGACCCTGGAAAGGCAGGTCATGGCTGGACCAGTCCTGTGGATGTCGAAGTCACAGTACTAGTGATGATGAAGGAGATCATGAAGTTTTCAAAGCATGAGAGTGACAGAGAGATAGACAGATGATGGTTAGCAGTGGGTACTGTATCTGACGGTGTGATCGCGTGATGTGTGTATATCTATGCGTTTCTTCTTTAAGAAAAAAGAAAAGAATTGGCAAGGAAAGAAAGAGTTTGCAAGTGGCAATAGGGAGCAAGAAAGGCACAAAGCCTTTCTCTAAGCTCAGTGGTAGGTAGCATATGGAAATAAAGAAAAGGGTCCACCTGAGAGGCCTGCAGGGACTGAAGTGTCAGCAGAGTACAGCCATCTGCTCCGTATTATGTTATAAAAAAAAGGACGCTTTTTCAATAAAGCCTCAATTACTCATACTCTGCTTTGTTGATTATATACATTTTCTCCCAATCTTGCCATAGGGGACTCTCAGGGATCTACCAGAGTAACACAGGGAAGGGGAATATAAGGCCCTATTTTGAAAGGGGAATTTGAGATTCTTAAACCTGTCTGCCCATTAGCTGCACCTGGGAAACTTCTTGAACATATCAGTGCCTGGGCCCATTCCCACACCAATTAAATATAATGGGGCCCACAGTGACCACCCCCTCCACCCCCCGGTTCCCCAGGTGATTCTAATGGGTGGCCAGGATCTGTGTGAAAAAGTCTGCCTTTGTTTAAGCACAGTGAGTTTCTTTAAGAGGCAAATATTGTGTTCTGGATTATAGGCTGGTTTAAATTTAACCACTCATGCTTCTATTATTATAGCAAAGAGGAAGAGAATGTAAAAATAAATATAAAATAGAATATTATATACAAACCTTAAACATCCAATTACTTTGTGGTTAATTTGTCACTACTTTTACTGAATGAATCCTTTACATCTGTTGCCAATGACCTGCATTTTCCATTTAAGACAGAACAAAGTAACCCAATACATACAGTATATATTAGAGAAGTCATTCAATATCCTACCTTCCCCAAAAAACATATTTAATGGTTCCTAGAAATCTGTAAAACCATTATCAAAAAATACATAAGGTTACATTTGAAAAAATGAGAAAAGTGGGAATAGTACAACATCCAGTCTAGACAAAGCCAGAAGGATGGATATGACATAATTTACTCTTAAAAAAAGGACTGGTTGAATACAGTGCTCAAGGCAAATGCACTCTTCCTTTCTCCCACTTTATGCCAACCACCATGCTACAGTTCCACAAAGATGATCTACATTTTACATTTTCCAGTGCAAATCTTTCAACACTAAAAATAGAAATGCATTTAAGTACATCAAGCGAGGTTTTTACAGTGTTTCAGGTCTATTTCGTATACACTCTATTCATTTTGCATACAGCCAATATCAGAGTAGAATCCTACAAAAAAGGGTGTTTTTTTGTTTGTTTGTTTTTAAATAAATGTATTGTTTCAGAGAGGGAAAACAATGATGTTAATGAGGAAAGGCAGTGTAATCAATTAATTCACTGCTGTTTGGTGTCTAGGCAAAAACATCCTTAAGACAATGAAAGAACTTCCCTTGATATAGTTAAATACATTCTTAATTTCAGTATTTTTACTGAAAAACTTAAGCCATCTTTGTATCTTCAGTGTCTAGCATAATGTCTGGCATAAACATGCATTAGGAGAATGAGTTATGTTTTCCTCAAACACCTACAATTTAAAATGTTTTAACATTACTACTATTTCTTTCCATCGAGAGTATTAAAAAATAAATTTACCCATTATTAACTGGTGCAATGTCCTGATAAATAAAAGAGATGATAATACATTTTGTTACATGAAAATGACACCATAAAATGTGCTCTGGCACCTACACAACTGTAACCATTCATAACTTAGTTCAAAACAGACAGTTCTGTTTATGTGGTCCACTGTTATTCAATGGATTCTTGCAGAAATTTATCAGCAATCAACAAAAAACATGAAAAGAAGATGGTTGGTCACACCTATGAATCCTACTAATAAATGTATCAAGTAGTCTGAGCTCCAAACTTGACTATCATCAGGTTACTTCTTATGTCCTAAAAGGAATTTTAGTTAACTAAACAATCTTCTAAAACACATTAAAAAATAAATGTTGATCAAAATATTGGGGTCCAGCAAATCTTAACTGAAGTACACTAAATTTATAAAAATGAAAAATAAAACAATTTTCATGAAGACCTAACATAAAATTACTTAATTTCTTTGTGATTTTTCTTAATACTGGGAAAGGTTAACTTTGTTCCACATTAATAACCTGTCTCTTTTTTCTCATTCTACTGAATTGCTACGAATCCACTATCAATGACAGCTTATAAAGCATATTGTTTTCCTTCTGCTTTCAGTAAGTTGGAGCACCTTTGGCATTTTTCTACTTATTATCTCCTATCATTTTGTCTGCCTCCTCCCTGAGATTGCCAAGTTTCCGTCTAGTTTCCTGTAGGCTTTGACTGTGTTAAATTTAAAATCCCAGATATTAAAGTGGAACTCCCATCTTTCTGCGAGTGCTTCTGCATCACCAGGCAAATTGCAAGAACACTGATCCCATTATTTCTGTAGTACTTCTGGAAAGAAACACTGAGCCACTCTGCCACCCAAAGGATAAATAACACAGCCTTCTGTAAAATGCATGTTCGAGTTTGTGACATGCGGTAGAGAGTAAGTTAACAATGAAGACCTGTTAGTCAATGCAAAGATTAATACTTTGCATTAATACAAAGATTAATTGACATAGGACAGCCATTCTCTTGTGACCAGAAGCAGCAACATTACCTTGAAACATAGCCCCACCCCAGATGGGAGGCAGAAATTCTGGGGAGTCTCATAAAAATACTGAGGGTTCTCATTCAATATACATACACTGTGTGTCTATGCTCTAAGCACCACATGACGTAAGTAAATGAGGTTACAAAGACAGTCAAGACAGAGCCCACATTCACAGGCAGCTCACTGCCCATAGGTTACATTTCCACCTGGAAGAGAATAGACAGTACATCTCCTGAGCTGGGATTTTCAGCTGGACTAAGAATATTTATTTTGCATAGTTAGGTCGAAAATGGAGTAAAGAGTCAAATGATCCTCTCATTTTTGACTCATCATCACAGCCATGTCCTGAATTTAACAAACATGACTTTTATGTTTTTTCCTGATTATGTATGATGTTCAGTCCTAACTAGATTAAGGAAGCAGAGAGAGAGTGGCATTGGGGGAAAAAAGAATGGCTAGAAAAAAATCAACTTTTTTTTTTAAAGCAAAATGACTGATGAGGTGTTAAAACAGTGACAAAATCACATGTAACATTTATTCTGCATTTACTTAACAAACTTCTGAATGCCCCTGAAGAGCAAATGAAACCAGGGCTGATAAAGGTGCCAAACAATAAAAATGACTGTATTAATATTACCCTAAAGAAACTAAATGCTCCACTGATAGAGAAGCAGGAAGTCAGCCAAGGAGAATAGCCCGATGTGGCGATTACAACCCTTCAAGGCGCCTCTGGGAGATGTGAACGATAGCAAGCCCCCAACGTTTTCTCTGACCCAGCACTGTCAAAACAGAATATATCTTATTAAAACGGTATCAACCCATTGATTTTGAAGCCTCTGTGTTTGCCTGATCTTGTGAAACACCAGCCCTGTTTGGTGGGATTTAGTAATTAGAAAGTGGAAAGCGAGAAATTCTTTTTCATTTAACATCAGACTCTATCAAAATAGACAATCAGATGTACATTAAAAAATATTGTTGCCTATGTCATTCTAAATGGGCGATGCTAAAAATTGTATACATTTAAACAACTCTATTTTTTTCTCTATGAAATGAGTTTACCAAAATTCTCCATGTCAAGCAAACCAACCTACCTTCGAAGGTGGAGGAAAGCTGTGTAACACTGTTTACGGAACTCTTGGTACTGCTCGCTCTGTGTGCCCCCCATTCCTTCTACCATTTCTTTATTCAGCTTCATTGGAGGGGGAAGAGGCTTCGGATCTCGACCCAAGATGTATCCAAAGTCTATGTGGAAGAGTTTGCCTAGATGTTGATAAAAAACCCAAATGTTTCCATAATTATCTTAAGGGACTGGACAGGGGATATGTCATACAATTGGTAAAGCAGTATCTCTACATAAAGAATTAGTTCATGATGAAGTCTAGTAAAGTGTTGACCCTCTAATCCCTGGCTTGGGGGTAGCCTTCAGAACTTACTTTAGTTCAACTCACATTCATTCAGATAAAATTATGCTTAAAATCATCCCATAGTGATATTAAAAATTTAAATCCTCCTTTTAGATCACCACAAAGTTGACAAAGCCTGAACAACTATTTTTTTAAGAAGATTAGCATAAATAAATATCCTGTAGCAAATTTCTCATGCTAAAGTTTAAGCAGAAGACCATTTCTTTCAAGCATTCCTAAAATGAAGCCTTCCTTAAAGTTTATCACAATTCCCACCCCTGCCCCTATGGGGGGAAAAAAAATCCTTTAATTTCACATTATATTGTTAGTTTCATCTGAACCATTTCCAACGAATCCATGTCACTCATTAGCTGCAGACTAAGAAACCAAGCACGGCATCCGTGTCTGCCAAGAGCTGCGCACAGCTGCAGAGCCCATGAAGACAAGCCCTGGAGCAGCCATCGAAACCCACACACCGGAGACGCAAGGATGTGGTCATTCAGTTTGGAGAATGATCCACCGCAGAATTCACAAAGCATCTTGTGATTTATACAAGGGTATAAAGTAGGCATGCACCTATTTCCTTTAAAACACCTTAGCTAAGGATATATTAAAATCATTTACTTATCTTTCTTCTCTACACTATACTGTTAAAGAGCCAGCAAGAGTCTTATAATCAAAAATCTTGTTTTATTTACTTATTTTTATAGCCCTGAAACCTAGGCTAATACCTAGCATACAGAAGCATTCAGTGTGACTATTTTGCATTTATTTAACCAATCACATCGCAATCTCACATTTACAGCTTAAGCAACATTTAATACCATTGTTGGTGTAAGAAATTTTCTTCTGGAAACCTGAAAGTTCTTAAAATAATTCATTTTTTTTTAAATTGTCTTCATTTCCATGAAGATCTAAAATAAAAATAAAAGAAGCCAAATCTAGATCATCTGGATGCTGCTACATTACTTTTAGCACTGTTGTGTTATTTCCTTGTTTACGACTGAGTTAGTATCAAACAGCAAGGCAATCTTTAATTGTTGTGAGCTAATACTAACAGAAGCAGAACTAGTTTTACCTTGAAATTACATGACAGCAGTCTGAACAATGGAGGTTATAAAGTGGTTCAAGTAGAGAAAAATATTAAGACCATCACATGGGATATGATATTAACAGCACTGTGAACTCAAATTCACACTATGCTATCTGTACTATAGTTGCACTGCATGTTTGTAACATGATTTAGTTCATAAATCCTTTATTTTACAGTTATGTAAGAGTAAATGTACGAAAACTTAGTATCAGGTTTGAGGTTGTACATATTTAAAATTATAAAATGCAACATGTCAACAGGGAGGGGTTCATTTCTATTTAAAACAGTTCTGTGTATTATTCATGACTGAAAAACACCTTTTCAATCATAGGCTCTAGAGGTCTCTAAACACAATGAAATCAATTTTGGGGGAAATCCAGAAGCTCATCAAATTCCCAGGTGAAGTCCATGATTCCAAAAATATGGAAATCAGTTTTAGAGTAAGATCTGATCACTGTAGTAATCACTGGGAAAGCATCATCTCCTAATCTCTTAAGATTCATGAGAATGAGTTATCATTGAATTTTTCAAAGATCTGGTGAAAAGTTCATGATCAACTTCTATTAAGGATTTCACTGCCTTCAACTAAATACAAGGTGAGGCAAAAGCAGGCTTAGAGCTGTTTGTATGGAAAATAATACAATAATACACAATAAAAATAATACAAGAAACTCCGTGTTTCATGTGCTCATAACTGTCAGCCTACTTTCGCCCTACCCTGCTGTGTCCTCTGTCCAACTAAGCTAAGCACTTCGTTTTGGGCTATATTCTCACTCACGAGTTCCCATTTTTTTCCTGCCTTGTTAAACAAACATCATCCTGCCCTTATTATTCTAGGTACGGATAATGTTTTGTCTGTTATGAATATAATTCTTAATGATACTCAGCACTTGAGCAGCTGGCCTATCTGACCAATCTTTGATTCAAAACTGCCACCCTTAATGAATCACGTGACATCCTAGTATCAAATGATATCAGCCATCACACGTGGTTTATTTAATGGGCTCCATGCTTTTCATAGGAAACCCGTCTCCACTTTCCTTCATTTCATTAGAGGCGTTACTGGAATTCCAATGTCAGCGACGCATCACTGCTTACAAATGAAGAGTGCATTGCTATTCTTCTCATAAGAAAACTCTCAAAGAACAGGATTACTGCTTAATTATAACGCATAAAAGATTCAGAATCTATGAGCAAAACCATTATTATGCTTTGCAAGTTCATAGAGTCATGTATTTTGAAAAGAGGCTATTAATGTTTCAAGAAAATGTATCCTCTTATATAGCAAGGGGAAGGGCTATTTTAAAGTTAGTATCTGTAGATAAATGCATAAGGATTTTAAAATGTATTTCATGAAATTAAAAGTTTAATTAAGAGATTCAGAAAATGTGATCTTACTCTAATCTATTACCTTAAATAGTCAAGAGGTAATGTACACATAAAACAAACTGAATGTTGACTGCAATTATCTCCAAGTGCCTGACTTGTAATACAATAAGGATGAGAGGAGTTAATTAAATTTTCCTGTTATTTGCATAAGTGACAAGAACTTATTCTAAAGTTGTAGTTCAAGACATTTTAATTTTTGAATTAAAGAGAACAGACACTACTAAAATTAATAGTATTTAAAAGTAAAATTTTTAAAATTTCCATTTTGTCTATCCAATAATTAAATGTGATTAATCTCAAAACTGCAGTTATTTCATTTTTCACACCTCTGCTTAATCCCCTTCTGTTTGACTCTCTTCTATTTTCTATAATCCAACCCTGTTTTTTGAAAATCCCACAAAATCCCCAAATTCAAAAATTCCTCCTGTCAACCTCTTCCAGAGTAAGTTTCCCATTCTCATCAATGTTTCTGTAAACAATTTGACATGGTACTCTTTTTCCACAAAATGATTTTATTTCTTATGTGAATATTGTACCTTCCCTGTTGTCTTAACATAAAACCTAGAAAAAAGAGGTGGCGAATGACCATTTATTGACATAATGAAACCTACGTTTCTGGAATTAAAAATGCTCCCTAAACCTGCACTCCCACTTATTAGTCAGACCCTTTATACCTGGTTAGAACTGGTTCTCACTTACAGCTAAAAGCATAGGAATGATTGAGGATATTTCAAAGATCATTTCTCAGTAACAAAGAACAATACGATAACCTATAGAGAGATGAGCATAACAATTTCAACGATCTGCTATTTAGTATCATTTCTCATTCAGCTGTTAAGATGGCTTAGGAATAGTGACAAAAGCAGGCTAACGAAAGGGGACAAACCATGTCTACGTAAGTGTATCTGATTAGACAGTCTATTCTCTTTCAAGAAAAACAAAATTTTATGTTATATATTTTCATTTTTTTCTATATGCCATTTTTTCCATAATGCCATGAAGTTTTTCCCTGAAAGGAGTCTTTAATGTTTAAAGCAAAAACAGTAACCCCTTGAAGATGAAAAAAAAAAACGGTCTTGAATGAGCAAGTCTAAAAGCTATTGATCTAGCATCTTTTAAAAACAATTAATTTAAAAATAAGACAACATTTTAACCTAACTCGTTTTTTAACGAATAATAACTTTTCTAAAACAAAAACATAATTTAGCGAGAAGAGCGGCATTGCCTTACATTTTGCTAATCTCTTTAATGCCTGGGTTAATAATGGACAGCTGGGTTCTCCCACGTGCATCTTTGAAACTATTATGATATTTGATTAAAGTAAAAGAAGAGAACCCAGCCCCTAAGTAGATGGGTAGAAGAATTCTAATGCCCTTTTCAGATAACTGTGCATAGTTGAACACATTCTCAGGCCCTAGCACATGCAGTGAATCAGAAACTCTGAGCCTCCAGACCGACCATCTGCATGTTAACTGCCCTTAACTCACTCCCCAGCTAACAATGATGGGAAACTTGAGGACTTCTACTTTACACCAATACACCCCTCCACTGCCCTTAGGTCACTGCGGAGGGGACAGTACCAAGATGAATAACCTAAAGGGAATAAAACTCATATTCAAGACTAATGTTTACCCTCTCCCTGTGTTGTTCAACCCCATTATGTAACACTTCACACACTTTTTTTTTTATTCAAGGTGTGACTATGAAAATGTATTACTTTTTTAATAATCCCGGTTTACCGTTGCCAGCTAATGGTGGCACCTGAATGCTTTAAAATACATTAAAATTTAACCTCCCCCCAAATTACTCACTGCAAAGCAATACAGTGTCTGCTCAGCATTAAGAAATACACATGATATAAAAACTTACATTAAAAAAACTTAATATCTGAATCTACAGCTTTACTTCAATGATTGGCTTTGCCTTTGCCATATTAAAGGTAATCCAAACAGAGGTAGATTGATTTCCACCCACATTCTGACCTCAAATTAATCTAACCAGCATATGGGTGTATTTCAGCTTCTCAGGCTTTTACTAGAACATATGCTTTTCTCCCTTTGCATTGCACACACCCAACACCTTCTTCCTCACCCAACACCTTCTTCCTCACCCGGCCCAAGTTACTTTCTCCATGAAGTAATTTCTAGCTCCTTGGGCACACAGTGTATGTCTTAGGCACCTTATTTCTTATTACTTCTTATGAGAACAAAAAAAGTTTTTCTTTAAAACAAACTTTTTAAAAAAGCACACTACACAAACTATTAACATTTTGTTTTCAGTAACCGTGAGAAAACTTCTTGATACTGCATATTCAAGAAATTTTCTAAAGACCAGATTTTAAATAATGTGTAAAAAGAAAACAATTCACACGAAGACAAGTCCTTCTCATATTTAAACATCTAGAGTAATAATCAATAGGCTCAAACAGTACTTACGGATAAAAAGGGAAGGTTTTACATGCTGGGCTCTTTTTTTGTACACATTAACTGAGAAAAACCAATCAAATTGGATAATAAAAGTTTAGACAAGAAACAGATTTTCCTGGGAACCCTAAGCATGGATTAAAAATAATATTAAAGAACTTACTGGGTGCTTACTAAATACATTAAAGTTTTTATATCCCTTTCTCTTGTTCCCGGAAAATAAAAAAGAACATTAAGAAATTAAGTCGGTAATTTTAGATTCTGCAGCATATTTAATCTACCAAACTGAATAACTAAATACAAATTGCTGAGGAGGCACCACCATCTGAGTAGTAACTAAGTTCCTTCCATGTAAGAACATTTTGAACATCATTAACAACTGTATTATGTCTTGAGGACAAAATAAAACAAATAAATATAGTATATATTTTAAGATATCAAGCTTTACATTAAAACACACAAAGGATGACATCAAATCAATGATCAAATTCACTACTTCTCTTTTATAACCCTTCCTGTACTACTAAGATAGCTACTCAAAAGATAATTTAGAAGGTGATAACTTAAAAAAATTTGAATTTTAGAGTGGGAAACAGGAATTTTTTAAATGAATTGTTTTCTTATCTCTAAAATCATGAGTCCAAATATCAACTACATAAGTCAAATATGGAAAGCATTGGTACTTCCTGAAGGTAACCAAATAAGCAAACAAAAAACCGTAAGATGTACTATCCCTTAAGAATGGTTTACCATGTGCTCAGGACCACAGAAAATTCTATTATGTATCTAATTCGACCCTCATACCACCGCAAGGAGAGGGGTTCTATTATTATTTGCACATTCAGAAGAAAAGACTGGATCATAGAATGGAGGGCCAATTTAAACCCCAAGATTTTTGATTTTGAGCCTGACATATTAACTTATACAATACAAGACTGTCCCTAAGAATTAAAGAAGTGAATCAATTTCACATAAAATTAAAGGATGACAAAGATCAGGATAGGAAATATATTTAAACTTTGTAAAATTATAATATAAGAATGACTATTTTTTTACTTTGAGCTTTCTGACAGGCTCAAAGGGTATTACTCTGAAGTGTCAAGACATACAAAAGAGCCCTTGTTCCCCTCACTATATACATGTGTGAATCCAGACTAGAAGGGTAACCCCTGGCAGTCCTGCTACTACAGACTCTTAGCTCCTTGTTATCATATGTGAGTGTTTTTCCGTTATTTACATATTAACCTCCTATGTTAATTCTATTATAAAGTCTGTATATCATAAACAATGAACAAGTTTTTCAGTTATACTGGTCACTCCCCCACCTCCAAACTCTCAAAAACTAAAAACAAAAATAAACCTTTCTCCAAAGAGTTTGGAAAAACCCAAATCATGTTTCATTTGAGTTCTGCCATAGATGATTATTCTGAATAAATTTAGAGTTTCCTCAAAGGACACCAACTCTGAAAAAAGTTCATTTTTTTTTCAATCCCACATCACAGCTTAAATTTTAAATTTCTTGCTCAAATAATGCTATATTAATACATTAAAAGGCAAACATGATTCACTCCAATACTGCTTCAATAAAAGTGTTATAATTGACCACACGACAATACACTAACAAAGGAATTTAGGCAGCTTTACGTTTATGGTGGATACACAGCGCCCTCTGCTGTATAAGATGCAGAAACGTCAACCAAGCTGAAAGTACCTAAAACCAAAACATGCATGGGCTTCTTGGAAATCTGTGATTGAGACTCCTATTTTATGTTTTCTCAAATTACCACAGTATAGATTTTAAAATTATCTATATATAGTGAAGCATTTTCTTCCACACACTCCTAAACTTCTCTGTCCGGCCCTTTTTTGTGCTCACCTGTATTTATAATACAGGGTAGAACAATGTATTTGGGAGCAAGTCCTCAAAAGGCCGTGGTGATAGAAAATGTGGGTATCTCTCTTCTCTCTACTACACCTCTCATACCAGAGAACTGGACACAGCTGAATAGTGGAACTCTGATTACAATTCCAAAACAAATCAGGGTCATAGCTTTTTAACCTGCCCAAACTGGCAAATAGGAAAAAAAAGACAAAAAGTTGTTACATTTTGAAGAATGAGAGATATCCTACTTTTCATTAAAAATATTCTTCATTAACATTAAGAGATTCTAACATTCTAAATATTTAATATACTACAGCCTGTATTGAAGGTATAAGGGACCCAAAATACACGGAAGATATGTCATGATATTCAAGGCCTTTTTAATTACAAACACTAAAATGTATTTCCTGCAATAACCCCATTTAAAATGCACTTTGTATATATAATAGATGTATAAACTATATGAAGTCTATTAATAGCATATATGTAAACTTGAAACTGCTTTGAAATATATGGACTATTAGTAAAAGATGACTAAAGACACAGTTATCTGAAAAATAAATCATGACAAGTTTTTAAAAGTTGAAGAACACAAAATACTTCCATTTGCCTTAACATAGTCAGACTTTCCTTATATAATCTAATTTCATTCAAGTTAAACCTGAAACTATTTGCCCTAGTGAGGAACACTTACAATGTTAACTATATGATACACCTGGATGAAATAATTAAAAGGCACTTAATAACTCAAAACAATTACTACTTTTAAAAAAGAGAACGTGCCTCTTAGCAAGCACATTTTAAGGAAGGTTTTATTTTCAAAAGCAAATTTGAAGCACCCTCTAGTGGAAAACTGGTAACAAAAAGTTAAAGCTTCTGTTTCTGAAATTTTGTAATTCAATTTCCATAAAATGAGTAACTATGACCTAGGACAAAAAGTTGATTAGGTACACTCCTCTTTCCAAATCTGACTTTTAAAATATCCCCAAACACATCCATATGCACAAAACAGAATAGCTCCTAAAGTCCAACAGAAAAAGTCTACTATTTATCAACTAGAAAGAAAAAACAAGATCTGAGAATGTAACATCATAGATGTTTACTATACATTAAACATTCCCCTGAGGTTATAAAATGATTAAATCATAGAAATTCATGGAATCACTTCGGTAGCTTGACACGTGGTTAAAAGAATTCAACCGAAAAGAGGGCTAAGGGAACACAACAGGAAAGCTTCTTCAAAATTATAATTCTCGCCAAACACACTGCAACATTTTATAAATAGCCTGCGCTAAACTAGCAAATCAGGTGAGAACTTCCAGCACAATCCGATCACACTCCTTCAGTCTTGGTTATTAAAGTGACTGCCCGGCCTTGAAACAGACATGGCTCCCTCATGCAGATTCTACCCGAGGTGATTTTTCACATTAGTAATTTAAAACTGAGGAGATGGAATCCCAGGTTACATAAATTAACAGGGTTATCTATTAATAATTACACTACATATTATTCATTATGTAAATTCTTAGTATCACAATTTGGAGAAATGGTAACAAAACAAAAAATGTCCCCATCTGAGAGACCATTAAAAAAAATAATTTAAAATCTATTTTCTGAGGAAGGCTGAAAACACTTAATTATTTAGCCTAGGGAAGAAAAGTCTCCACAGGAGAGCAGATAATTAAGCACTGATTTACTCAACACTTTAACTAGGTGTTGGTGAAGGCCCTGGAGGCACAGTGGCTCTCACCGAACCTGCACCTCGAATGGGGAAAGAGGGTAAGAAAGCAACGAGCTCCATGAGGGTCAGCATTTCTGCCTGTCCTGTTTACTGTGGTATCCCCAGCACCGGCAATAATACCTGGCCCATAGTAGGTGCTCAATAAATGTTTATTGATTTTTATATATATATATATATATGTGAAAACTTCAGCTAGTGAGGAGTAGTATAAAGAAAAGAAAAACAATAAGAGAGTAATGGGCAAAGGTGGCATGGCAGGTGAGCGCTATTGCAGACTGGTGAATTAGAAGAGGCTTCTCTTAAGGATATGCCATTAGAACTTAGACTTAATAGCCAAAGTAAGACTTGCAAAAAACTGAAAGAAGAGCTTTCCCGGAAGAGGCAGGAGGGTCTAACATTTAAATATGCAGACTGGTCAGTGTGGGCACGCCACAGCAGCCTAGGTAGAGTCAGATTTTACTCAAACAGTGTGGGCAAAAGATGCTGGTTGTTAGGAGGGTCAAAGCAACAGAAATGTAGAGAATGTGTGACTTCTTGACCTATTTTGGAGATGAGGAGTAGGCATGATTTGCTGATATATTGAATATGTGAGATGAGGCCAAGAGTAGTAGTAAAAATGTGTCCTAAGTTTGGTGTTTAAACAACTGGGTGGATAAGACTACTTATTGAGATGGGAAAACAAGGGGAAGAGCAGGTTTCAGACACGTACTGGAGGGAGGGGGCAACTTTCACAACTAGCCATGTAGTCAGGAGTTCAGGTAAGTGGTTGTGTATTTCGGTTTGAAGCTAATTTAATCTGATGAGAATTTTTAGTAAGAGTTGTACAGAAAGAGATTGGGCTGCTTGCATATATTGCAAACTGTCCACCAAGGACAGCAAGGCCTAGAAGAGCGTCTGGAGGATTACTACTAAAGAGATTCTCATAAGGGATGAAGTTTCCTTTAGATGTCCTTCAAAGGTGCCATTTAAAAGGACTTTTAAGACTCTATGATGTACCTTCACTTACATGTAATTTTATTACTAGGTAGATTCCAAGATTTAAAAAAACCACTGGCATATAAAATGTATATCTATCTACTAGTAGACATTATATGTTACCTGTTTTTGTCAGCAAAAGGTTATCCAAGTGCCTGTCTCCAACTCCAAGTATATATGTAATCACACAATATCCAGCTACAGGTTCGAAAAAAAACAAAACAAAACAACAATACTGTGAAAAACACATGCAAACCAGGTTATACAGAGCACTGAACATAAAAACAATTTGTGCTACTTTAATTTCAATTTGTTTACTATTGTTTTTCACTTTTCACCTAAATTCTCAAATTAAATTTATAGGCTTTGACTCCAGAGAGTTTATGACTTGAAACTCAAAAGAAATTACTATTTGCAACAAGAAAAATATTTTTGTCAAATTAGAAGTGCCAGTTGTATCAAAAGTGAAATCAGGTTTCAGGCCTATCATTTCCTATTTAAAACTGGACACATGTTAAAGATGACAGTGAAAAACAATTGTCCATAGAAATGCACATAATGAAGTTAATCATCCCACTACGATCCCACAACCTTGTAGCTGTCTACAAGGGAGCAAAAGTAAATACAGGGTAAAAAAAAAACAATAAAAACCCCCCCAAAACAACTTCAAAGAAACAACCTTGAAGTGCCAGCAGAGAGGAAGAAAAAAGTTAATTCACTTAAGCAGTAAAGACATTTATGAAATTCACCCACAATGTTCTAAAGTATTAAGATAAAAAACATGACCAGGGGCTAGGAGCAGAGTCATTGGCTCTAGCTTTATTCTCTTTTATCTTTCTCTTCCAAAGCGTCTGGAAACTTGGCATGTGTTGAAAATGCTCAAACAAAATTTTCTGAAGAATATATATATTTCTCCCTATTTCTCCCATTAGTAACCTGACAACAAATACAACTTGCAAAAATATATTATGACTATAACAGCATTTACAAAAAATGTTTATTTCAGCCAGTATGTACAAAAATGATTAGACCATCTGTTAAAGACCAAATTAATCCTGTCCAAATTTAATGGGCTGGGATTTGAATTTAAGTTTGACTCTGAAGTCCTTGCTCATCCCATTTGTGCACTGTCTAATTCCTTCTCCCCAAAGTGGCTATTTTGATAGGTGAAATAACAATATATTTAAGCTGAAGTGTGTTTGTTTAGAATAAGCATATTCTAATTAAAAAAAAATTATGTATTTAAAAATATATCCATATCTACAGAATGAATAGGAGATCACATACCATTATTCAAAAAATGCTTCTAATCATATCACTAATCCACTAACAATTTTTTACTTACCTGTAACAAATCAGTGATTCTCAAATATAGTCTGTGGTATGACAGGGACTATACTATTCTAGTTACGCTTCTTCCTTAAGACAAGACCAAACCAGGGTCTGTGGGGCAAGACTGTGCCTAGGAAAAAGACTGCTTTTCCCAGACTCGTTTGTGTGTTTCGGTAACATATTGTTCTGGTGACTTTATTTAGTGAGCAGGATTTTCAACTTTTAGTCAATATTTATAAGTTGTACATGTGTGTATATATTTCAAATTGAAAAAGTAAACATTCCTTTATTAAATAGACTTATGGTGAAAAAAGTTTATAGTAACTATCAGAAAGTCAAGTAAAAAGAAGATAATTGTTTGAGGGCCTGAAAAATATCTCATTTATTAAGGTAATGAGAACAAGCTGTGGTGAATTAAAGATGGTCACACTTTTTTTTAACACTGTTTGTATTCAAGGTGGGAACTACACCCCTTCCCCCCTTGAAGCCAGGAAGGCTCGGAAACTGCTTTAAACAACAGAATAGGACAGAAGTGACAAAGTATCGACTTGCCAGCCTGGCCCTCAGAAGCCAACACCTTCCGGCCCTGTCTCCTAGCCCTGAGAGGCCCAAGCCCACAAAGGCCATGCACAGGTGATTCAATTGACAAGCCTACCTGAAAAACAATATAAACTACATGTCTTGTGAGTGATCTATCACCTAGTCAAGCCTATAGATGATAAGAAATTTTTTCAGATCATAGAAAACACAGACCTGAAGGTATGAGGAAAAAAGAAAAGAAGAAAAAAGGCAGAAGGAAGAAAGGAAAGCAGGAAGGGAGGGAGGGAGAGGAGAGAGAAATACAGAGAGTGCAAGGAGCAGTAAGAGAAGAAAAACATTTTTACAAATATTTCAGTCAGTGCTTTTTAGTCTTTAAATCTAAATAGAGTTCATGTAATCATTCTTTTGGGAAACACAATCACATGCAACACATGTTCCTTTAGTGAAAATAAGAATTAAAAACAAAAACACAAAGGATTCTAACAGACACACATTTTATGTGTTTGCAAATTTCCTAGGAATATACTTTGTTTACACATCTCAGCTAAAAATGTATCATCAAGTATAAATTTGGGAATAAGTAATGAGGTTCAAAATAATCTGGAATACTAGTTCACAGGAGCATTGTTCAAAATTTACAAATGTATATAACAAATCAATTTATAAACCATAAAATGATACAAAAGTTTAAATATAGTTGTTATATGTCTAGAAAGTCCCCTGCTTGCTCCTCCCAGCTTTGATTGCTTAGGTAGACATATGGACATAAATAAATATTCAAACAAAACAGGAATAACATATACCATATAATGTTCAGGGTTCAAATCTAGTATCAATTCCCTTGTTAACACTCCCTTAAACAATCTAGTTATTAAAAAAAAACAAAAAACAAAAAAAAAAAACCCAACCTCTTAAGAAAATGAAAAAATAATTCTCTAGAATGTAAACCTCACGAGGACAGGCATGAATGGTTATACAGGAATTAACCCCATGGCACGCTGCGACTTATTTCCAGGAAGGGACATGAGCACTAATCTAAAACATAAGCACCCTCACTGCACAACACTCGTGTCTTAGCTCTTGATTCACCTAAAGCGTACATATTGCTAACTGACACTTCTCTGGCAGTCCACTTCATTACAGTTACCCAAATACAGGGAAAAATTACCAGCTTCCAGGAAAAAATAACTAGTAAACATAAAATTATTAAGCAACTACAAGATACATCCATTAAAGACTACATAGGATTTATACCTCGTCATTACTATTAATCAAAAACATGAATGACTTATTTTATCGGCATTTTATATATTTTAGTCTTCTTATAGAGCATTTTTGTATCTCCCCAAAATCTAAATGTTGGAATCCTCAGGCTCAAAGTGATGGTATTAGAGAGTGGGACCCATGGGAGGTACTTAGGTAACAGGGGTGGGGCCCTTATGAATGGGATGGGTGCTCTTACAAAGGAGATACCAGGGACTCCCTGGCCCTTCCACACGAAGTCCTCAAGCCAAAGAAGACCCTCAGCTGACCACGGTGGTACCCACGCTCGGAATTCCAGCCTCCAGAACTGTCAGAAACAAATTGCTGCTGTTTATAAAACATCTAGTCCCTGGTATGTAGTTATAGCAGCCTGAAGGGACGGAGACAATATCTTAACATATTCTAAATGTGTATGATTATGGCAATCACAGAATAGCCCACTTTCCTTCATTCAAATGTATCAATGGAAAATAATTATTTGTATAACTTACCACAGCTCTTAACGTAAGTGTCCATAACCTCAGCACTGATCCCATAGGGCCCATTGTCGCTTGGTGCGTATTTTCTAAAAAAGTTCTGAAAAGATATTATTTACATATTAACAAAATAACACATTAAGCATTTCAAAACTGTAAATGATGGCCATAGATGTCTGATCTAAAGTTTAGTCAGTAATTACAAAATGTGGATTTTAGAAAGTATATTCCCCAGGAAAATACTATGCTTACAAACTGTTAAAACAAACAAAACAACATATATATGTTGCTACTTCTATAACCCAGGGAAAACATTAAATAAAATAAAATAAATTTACTGCTGTATCTCAGTACTTAATAATATCACTTTGTTTCATCTTTCTCTTGAGAGTGAACATAAAGGTTGTTTTTTTTTAATGTATATTCTCCTGAAAATGAACGTGAATGGTTATTTTTTAAATTATAGTCAGCCCTGAGTTATACATCTGTGTATTCAACCAGTAGCAGACCAGAAATATAGTTAAGCATACTATGGTTACATCATGTAGACTTTTTCTTTGTCATTATTCCCTAAACGATACAGTATAATAATTATTTAAATTGTATTATAAAGGTATTATAAGTAATCCAGAGATGATTAAAAGTATATAGGACAATGTGCACAGGTTCTATGAAAATACTATGCCATTTTGTATAAGGGATTTGAGCATCCACAAATCTGGATACGGTTGAGGGTCCTAGGACCAGTCCCTCAAGGATGTCATAAGACGACTGTACCTTTTAAGCACAGCTACTAAATAGTTGCTACTAACAAGCTCAATAAAATTACAACCAAATTTTTAAATGATTATAATGTAAGTGCTAAGAATTCTCAGAATTCAACTGAAATTGATGGGTAGATAAATATGACAGATGTTGATAAAACAAAAGAATCTCAGGGGTGCAATAAATACATTAGTGTCCAAAGAGTCTGAAAAACAATGGGGGAAAACAGTGTATTTAACTTTTTTCCTCAGACTATCGACTGCACCTATCCCCTTACGTTTCAGTGTTAAAGAACAACAGGGTTTATAAAACTCACATACACTTTAAAAAAAGGAGACATTTTTAATGTTTTCACCAATTATTTACTGATCTTCTATATTGTGCCAGGCACTGTTTAAGGATTTGAGCATCTGTATGTGCTAACACGGACAAATTTCCAACTGTTAGCATTGTTTACTTCTGAGGAAATAAAAAAGTGCTTGAAGAAAAACAGGTGATAAAAGGAGACTTTCATTTTTAACTTACTTTTATAAAGACTGAAATTTTTATAAGAATATATTCATGAACTGTATAAATCTTTAAATAGATACTATACCTGAATGCTTCCTTCTGTATCAAGAACTTCAGCAACAGGAACTGACTGGATAAACTGCATGAAGCCTACAGGGAAATACATGTATTGCCTTAAGCAGAGTTATTGGTTAAGCAATAAAAATAGAGGTTCTGCTAAGAATAACCTTCATTTGCAAATGTATACACTACATACCTGAATAACTTAAAGAGGTTTGCAAACACTATTTAAATTTATATGTTTATACTGGAGTTTATCTCGAAGGAACTACAGGAAAACTTAAAAAAATTAAACTAATTTAATTAGTATGTATCTCTAGGCCAATGTCTACTATTGTACCTAAGGAACGCAAAGATTTGAGGAGGCTAAACTTCTTGGCATAAAAATGTCTTCTTTCTGTATTCTGTAGTATATTTTTTTAACATATCACTTAAAAATATTCTCCTCCACATTTAAAATCACTTTAAGAAATCTGAAATTATGTAATATCAACCATGTAATCCTAAACCTGTACTATGCTCATTAGCTTTTTTGTTTAATACTCCATCTCTGTCCTTTACTGGAAATAACAGAAGAAAGTATAAATGCTTTAAACTAGCATTTAAACTAGCAAAAAGAAGAGGGAGGATATAGTATAAAGGAGAACAAGAAGGAGAAAAACCTGGGAATAACAGGTGTATAAAACAACAGATACATGAAATAAATCAAAATTGAATGAAGGAAATGATTTCAGGATCATACATAATCCTGACCTAGTTTTGGTGAGGCTTACAGCATAGCTATTTGCATGCAAATGAGGGGATTAGATACTCCTTTAGAATATGAAATGTCCCATTCATTATTGTATCATAAACATGAAATAGCCTTCAGTAATTCACAAGATTTTTATTGTTTTTCTACTATGTAGCAACAACTTTCCCAGGTAAAGCATAGAGCCTTGACCCTGCCTTCACAGATCGTACCAACTTGCAAGTTTGATTGGGGTAACTACTACAAACGAAAGGGTACGATGAAAGGGACTAGTGAGGGATCAGCGGGCATCTGACAATTTGAGCCACAGTTTGGAAGGACAATGACAGCTAACAGGTAAAGCTGTGGAGGAAAGAATGTTAAAGACAATAAACACAGCAGATGTGACGGCCTTCAGGCTGAAAAGACCACACCGGAAGGCAGCCAGTGTGGCAGGAGCCCCGGAAGCAAGGGCGACGGTGGCCAGAGAGTGGCTGCAGAGCCCGGGGCGGGAGCAGGGTCACACCCTGCCGGCACTGAGCGGGAGCTTTTGGTCTCTGCCCCAAGAGCAAATGAAAACCAGTAAATCAATTTAAGCAGGATAGTCAAAGAGCATACTTGCACTTTTAATAAGATCATTCTAAGAGAAAAAGAAGAGGAATTAAACTATCAAAAAGATTTGGGAGTGGCCAGGAGAAAGGCAGGAATCCTAAGGTACTTTTGTTTCTCTAGGGTATCTAAAGAATCTAAAGATAAGAAGTGCTAAGACTACAGATTTCAAAACAGGCATCAGGCTAGTATCCCTACGGACTCTTCCACCAAACTTTCAGAGGTTATTCAGTCTCAAAAAGATGTGGATGCTACAGAATCTACATTAAGAAATTAGAGTCTTTCATAAGCAGAGCACAGTATAAAGCCACTCTGGTTGTAGTAACTGAAAAGATGAATCGGGGCACAGATCACCACGTAAAACACTACTGTGAATTATAACCAATTCTGAACGCAGAAGAAATAACACTATAAAGGTTTTCATTTTTCTTCCAAGATGTTTAATGATTTCCAAGGGAGGGAGGGAAGGAGCAAGGCAGGCAGGCCAGCCCAGGTGGTGTTTAGTGCTGCAAATGAGTTCAACGTCTAACATTTTAACAACTTTCAATAAAAAATGAAAAATATACTCATTGGACACTGAGGTAAACAATCACTGTGTAAAATAAACTCACCATGTTTTGTACTTGTGGCTAAAACTTTATAGGGTGTTAACTTCAAATCCAGATTTTCTTTCCGTAGAAGCTTTTAATCAAAAGATAAAATATATTAAGTAAACGGAAAGATTGTTATGAAACAGTTTTACAGGTAAGTATTATAGCAAGTTAATATTAGAGATCCAGGAAGTGAACCTAAATTAGGGTTTAACTAAATTAATTAGTTACCTTGACTTACATTATCAAAATAAATGTATTAAGCACTTACTGGATGGTATGCCAAATTTTTATCTTATTCTAAATCACTATCAGTAGTTTTCAATGAACAGTACAGTTCCTGCTACTAATTTACGCATCCCCCGCCCCACATATAAAGTATTTTGTAAGTAGTTTAGACTCAGAAAAAAAGAAATAAGAGCAAGTATGTTCCTTTAAAATCCAGGGGTAGGGACGGATCTAAAAAAGAAGATCCAGTTGACTAAGAGGAAAGAAATTACTACATACAACACTGAGACAACTTAATTGGGAAAACAGTTTCTATGAAAAGCAACACATGCCATTTCATTTTATACTCATCAAAAGAGCCATTCTGAAGTGTATAAAAACAACCGAGTTTGTTCAAGGTCAAGTGTAGACTGCTAAGCTTTCCGTATTGTACCTGAATGTAACAAAAATGCCCTGTGTCCAAATACAGCATATGTACAAAACCATAGTTTTCTAAAATTAAATACTGTTCCACACCAACATAAGGTTACGTTCACCTTGTCCATGAGCGAAATAATTTGAAGAATAAGTTGATCTTGGCGAAGGTCGTCTCCATGCTTAAATATAACTGGGTATTTGCCTCCATCTTCTGTCTTAAAGAACAACTGTGCAGGCATAAGGGCACTCTGGAAAAAAATATATTGTTTTCAAATTTGGATAATTAATGTATGAACATTTACTATAAACAGAATAAAATGCTGACATATAAGACAAACAAACAGGTAAACGGGACCTAAGAAACAAGATGGGTTGGCAGCAAGGTGCATCAGGGCACCTTGCAGAAAACAGTGACCTCGCCAACAGTCAGAAGACTACATGGCCCTTATAAGGGGCATGGGCTCTAGAGTCGTCAGGGCTAAGAATCCACGCTCTGCCAGACAGGAGCTGGGTGACCTTGCACACATTCTTAGCCTGTCTCTTCACCTGTAAAATAAAGACAGCACCTCCTCTCCAAGGTTGCTAAGGACAATTTAAAACCACAGAGGTTGAGAATCTGGCACTGTGCTTGATAAAAAGCAGACATTCTCTGTGTGTTCTCCATGATTACTTGTATTAGAGACATGCTGGAGTAAATGAAGTAAAACAGTACAGCATAAAAATGCACCAGATAGAGTCAAGAGCCCTGGCTTCTAATAGCAGGTCTATGACTAGCTTTGCAGCTTTGAGGCTTAAATGACTCTCTTATAAAATGAAGGGAGATATCAAATACCTTATCTTTTATTCAGGCATAACTACATGTTTTCTCCAGTATCTTTCCTTTAATTAGATGAAAATCTGACTGACTTTATGTGTATGTTAAAAATCAGCAAATAATATAATTAAATTCTCTTTAAAAACAAAATCTCTTATAGAGTAGCACCCAGAAACCACCTCTTTGGAGGTGAAAGGTCAAAATACTGTTTTGAGAAATATGCCCTATTTGTTTTGATTACTGAGAAGAAACTGTATAAGATAGAAATTTGGAGAAACTTATAATAATCTAAAAAAAGAAATGAGTCTGACAATTAAGAAACACAAATGATAATAACCTGAATTTACCGAGGCCATGAGAAAAAAGAGCACAAAAAGTTTTGCTCAGAGGAATGAAGAAATGTGTGACGAAGCATTTACAATAAAATGTTAGTAACAGAATCAAAGTGGCAGGTATACAGTCATTTACCGTACTATAAATTTTTTTACTTTGTTGTAAGTTTAAAAACATAAAATGCTGGGGGGGAGGCATCAAATATGCTTCAAAAATATATGTTTAGAACAGATAACCTCTAGTGAATTGAAACTCTGAATTTCAAATTATCTTAAATTTGGAGTATCCTTTTATCATCCGAGGCAAAAATGTACTTTATAAATTACGTTGGACCCTAGTTTACAAAAGGTCAAGAAGAATTAACTGGAAGTGATCTTCCTCAAGATAAATAATAGGCAAGGGGAGCTTTGTAGTAATTTCCCTTTTCAGATTCAGATCTGATTCTGAAATTCAGATTTCACTTGAAATCTAAAGAAAACCGATGATAACGACAGGATATCTAATGCTATTCTCAGCTCCTTCAGGGGTTCAGTCCACATGAGGATCTGGCTTTGGCTCTTAGGCTAAGGCCTACAAAATATTCTTTAAAAATACCAAACACTGGGTCCATAACCTTTTCAGTTCTAAGGAGTTCATAAAAGGTCAGTAAGAATCCACGGATTCCCCTGACTTGTGTGCAGAAAATCCAGTGCATGTGGAAGCATATGGCTAACTTTCTAAAGTATACGAGGCATTCATGACACAAAAGTGACTAAGCATCAAAAAGCAAGAACCATTAATCCTAAACTTTAACATAGAATTTTCGAGAATATTGAAATATGTTGCCTTTAAACACAGCCTTAAAGAAATCTGAACTATCTCCTTTTAAAATTTTTATACTGATTGATTTTTAAAGAGAGAGAGGAAGGGGAGAGAAAGTGAGGGGGGGGGAGAGAGAGAGAGACAGAGAGACAGAGATAGAGAAATGTTAGTTTGTTGTTATACTTATTTAATGATTTCACTGATTGATTCTTGTATGTGCCCTGACTGGGGAGTGAACCTGCAACCTTGGCATATTGGGACAATGCTCTAACCAACTGAGCTACCCAGCCAGTGCTGAATTATTTCTTACTGTCATTATGCCTCTTTTTAAAAATCTAAGTTGTTGTCGTATGAGCCCTTTCTTACCGAAAGCAAAGTAGTATCTCAGTGCAACTTATGCCCTTCTATCCCTAGAACTCAAAACCTAAAATACCGCATCTTACTTTTCAATGTGATACCTGGCAGATAATTATGCTTCACAGGTAATGATCCTCAGTTCTTGGCCCAATCGGAGAAGATAGCTCTCATCAGTTGGCTGTTTTTAACTATCCAAATGGAAGCTGGCCAAAAGAAAAGCCTAGCATGCTCTTAAAGACTAAAGAGAATTACTGTACTACTTTAAAATATTTAGGAAAATTTTAAGTCATAGGAATAGACAGGTTAAAGAATGTGAAAAAAGATTAATTGGGACTCATATCTAACAATGTGAACTTACAAACTAAATGTGTAATGTAAGTTTTTCAACTTATATTTTAAAAAAAAGCTCATATGGAAAAAAGTAGGTATAGTTCTGAATAATAGTTAAAAAAATTAAAGATTAAAATAGCTCTGATATATAAAAATATTTTACACATTTCATTCTTTAATGCCTACTGTTAATACAAGATCTTAAATCAAAATCAAGGGTACCTTTTTTCCCCTAGCATTTACTAAATAATATAAAATGATAGATATTTCCTGCAATGTAATAATTTTCAAAGTAGTACATCTGTTATAGCTTTGAAGAACTAGGTTCCAATCATAGATGTTAAAGATCCATCACAATTACCTTGAATAGTGTAGCTGTTTCTGGGATTATTCCTCTAATTTTCACCTGGGGTTCTAAAGGCAATGGGATAACTTCCATATCTGACAGGTTCATCTTTTCACTGTCTCCAAGCAATGCCTGCAGTCTCTCATTCTAGGAGAACAAGTCAGAAAGGATTAATTAGGTTAAAATTAAAAAGCAGTTTATAAAATATAGCAAAGACATAAAAACTGATTCCGTTAACTTTAAAATATCTGCAAAGCACCACACACACACACACACACACACACACACACACACACACGTGCAAACTAACCTAAGTAACTAACACAAAGGAGACAGGGGATATGTGAGGGACAAGCACTCATGACCCAGCTGACAGCAGCAGCAGCTCTGAAAGGGGGAATCCTCTGCCTCTGACAAGCTCAACTTTCACAAGGTTAGGAAATACACTTCTCTTGCTGCCGAGAATCAGGAATATATTCAAACCCGACTTAAAGACTTGATTTCTGTTTTCAAAGGATTTGTGAAGCCACAAAGAGAAACTAATTTCATTTGAAGTTTAATTTTTGAATGACCAAATATTAAAGCAAGAAACTTGGACCCCATCTTTTACTGTTCACTGATTCTGACTCATCAAACTTTTCCTAAGATATCATAATTTATTTTCTTCAGCTCACACACATACTGCATTGAGCCAAGATTTCAAGTCACAGTGAAATACTTTGTCATTTAGCAACATCTATCATATTTAGACCACGCCCTGCCATTCAATTTCAAAAGAATAATCTACATCCTTTGAGTGCTGTGAGTTACGCATCCTTTGAACAGGTGATCTTGTTCTTAGGGGGAAACTTGTCAGTCCCAGCAGCATAGAACACTTGAACTGTAATACTACTGAAAGGATGTGTACAGATCACCTCACTCTTCTGTTCAAAACCTTAGATAGCTTCCATTCTTACTAAATATTTAAGTCAAGTCCTTATAATGGCTTGTAAGGATATACTCCGTCCGCTTCCCTACTATTTCTGTCCTGTCCTCGAATCTGCGACCATTCTTCCCCATACCCTCTATGCTCTAAAAACACTGGGCTTCTTCCTATGTCTCAAACATGTCACACTCGTTCCCACACCAGAACACTTGTCCTCACTGTTCCTCTGGTGGAACAGTCTCCTCTAGATATTTACATGGCTTGTTCCCTCACCTGCTTCAGGTCTTTGTTCAAATGTCAACTTCTTAGTGCGGACTTCCCTGATGATTCTACTGAGAACCCAGCAGCCAGCCCTTCTGATTCCCCTTCCTGCTTTGTTTTTTTCCATAGCACACAGTGTTATATGTAGCATACTATATATTTTGCTTATTTGCTTTGTTTACTTTTTCCGCCAACAGGAGTGTAAGCTCCATCAGGGTAGGGATTTTTATATTTACTGCTGTAATGCCAGAACCCAGAAAAGTGCTTGGCACAGAGTAGGCAGGCAATACATTTTTTATAGAACAAATAAATGAATATCATTATCTAAAGAATGATCAAGTAAAAAGAGACTACTCAACATGCAAAATAAAAGCTTTACCTTTTAATAATCATCAATGGAATATATATTTTTATTAGAACTCAAAACATCTACTCAGAGACCTCTTCTTGTAAGAAGAGTTTTTCCTAAACTAGAGGTGGAGATAGAAAGAAGATAGCAACAATATATCATTTGTTTTACCCATTTGACACATAAAAACCTGTTTCTCTTCATCCTGTTTTCTCCCGCCTAAACTTGTGAACATTATTCCACGTACATATCTAGCTAGCAAATCTCTTTAGACCTAATCCCCTATCTTTGAACTTCTGACTCAATTTTTCATCTTTCCCTCCTCCACTTTCCTCACACAAGCCTAGAGAACAATAGTAACATGAATTGTGTTGTTTAATCAAGGGCACTGAGAAAGACCCGTCTCTTATGAGATTAGGTAAAGAGAAGGTATCAAGTGAGTCCTTCATATAATTTAGGCTATTCGTTAGGGAAAAAAAGGACCCACAAAGAACAGATACTCATCTCTTCTTCTCAAGCAGAAACCTCACTGTTGAGAGAAAAATCAATGAACTAGCCAAGCCAACAGATTCAAAGCCAGTGCAGTTCCAACTAGTTCTGCAACCCAGGGTAAGTCACCATGGACCTTCACTTTTACAGAAGGATTCCAATCTAAATGATCCGTAGAGGTCCTTTCCACGTCAAATGGACTCTATTCTAGGATGCTAAGACTCTAAAATAAGAGCCAATTAAAATAGTGTAAATAAAAATATGGACTCAAGAAGTCTGGGTACAAATCCCAATGCCAACACTTGCTAAGGGCTCTGGACAGGTTAACTTAACCTCTCTATTCCTACTTTCCCTTTCAATTGGGATAATAATAGTGTCTTACTTAGAGGGTTGTTGTGAAGAATAAATCAATGTATATAAACTCATAATAAAACAATCTCACATATAATCAGTACTTTTAAGTGTTCCTATTTCTAAAATTACAAAAGATTTTGATAAAATATATTAATCCCAAAGGAGAGTACCAAAACTCAGAATTTTATGAGACCAAGACATTATTAGTCATTAATAGAAAGCAAACCCCCAGGTTTACCTTCTTCTTACGATTTCCGCTTTCACGCTGCACCGCCTTCATTAGATGCACCAGCCGATCTACAAACGTCTGCTGTGCAGCCAGCAAAGAACGCATCACTCTGACAGACTTGTCACCCTGAAGGGATTCAACGGAAAGGAAAATTAATTCTATGTAGCATAATGATCTGGTCTCTTTAATAGCATGGGTGATCTTTATTTATTCTAATAGCTTCAAACTTCAATACAAACTGTAATTGAAAAAGATTAATTATCTTGATTCAGAGATAATGAGAAATCTGTTATCTTAGTTAAACACTATCAACTCTTCCACAGTTGATATATTATCTGAGCCTTCAGCAAATACCAGTCTATCAAAAATAGCACTTTTTCCACATACAACCCTGTGACAAGATAGAATTCATTAACCTAAAATGCGTTCACTCTTTGATTCAATAAATATCTGGACGCCTATGATGTCTTCAGAAATGTGCTAAGGATATGGTAGAAACAATATTATTTTCAAGGACTAAAAATCTACTCAGAAAGGGTAAAGTCCTCAAATAGCAACATATTGCATGCCTGCTTAATAAAAAGTTATAAAAACAAAATGCTATACTTAGGTCGTTATTCCCAGTTCATAAAATATTATAAAATACCTTTTCTCATTTAATCTTCCAATATTTGCAGCTGGGCAAATATTAGCATCCTCATTTTGAAGATGACAAAATTTGAGTTCAGAGGAACTGAGATTTCTTCACAGAGTGACAAATGTAAGTGACAGAACTGAGGATTAGAAAGAAGGACCATTTATTTGGTAATCAGTTTGATGTAGAGACAATGTGCACTCTGAGAATCACATAAAAGTTTAGCCTTCAAGAGTTCAATAAGAGGTGATTTAAATATTTAATAACATGAAGCATGAAACAAAGATGAAAGGTTCTATGAAGTAAAAGTATTTCCATAAACCACAGATGAATGCGAGTTTTCTTTTCATTGCCCATGCACCCTCTGCTGGCTGAACTGTGACACTGCATTAAGAGTCACATAAACACCAAGGGAAAAATGGCTTTACTTAGCTCTCAAAATTGTTTAATAAAGAAAAATATATGTTACATGGAAAGTATCTGCAATATGACCATTATCTTCAATAAAACCATTGCCAAATTTCTAGGAATGTACCTAGTATTGAAAATAAAAACAATAAACACAGATGGAAATAAAAAGGCAAAGCTTTGAGGTTTTTTTGTTCCATGCATAAGTTTACTTCATTAAATCACACTTCCATAAAGTGCCAACAGATAAATTATTTAGTCCTGTTGACCTTTCCAGTCCAAATATTCAACTGCTACTGTGGAGCAAAATTGGCCATAAACAATATGAAAACAAAAAGCATGACAAGGTTCCAGTAACGCTTTACTTGTGAACACTGAAATTTGAATTTCACATAATTTTTCTATACCACAAGACATTATTTTTCTTTTGACTTTTTTCAACCATTTGAAAACATAAAAATCATCTTTAGCTCAGGGGACATACCAAAACAGGTAATATGTAACATTTGGTCCATGCATTGTTTGCCAACCCCTAAAACATTACATGGTTACCTTCAGCAAGGCTTGGCTGAATCGTCTCATTACATTCAAGTACATCTCATGGGTCTTTGGATCTCTCTGCTGGGTGTCCTGATCTTCACATTCCACTATCACGTACCTTAAAAATACGTTTAGTCATACAGATGTAAAACGAAGCTCAGATTCATTTTGTAAATATGTATGCCTTTCCATTAAAAGATTAATTCACGTTTGCAAAAATAATTACATGGGAGAAATGAGATATGTCATCATCACTCTTTCAAACAGTGGAAATATAAGAAACAACATACAGCTATCTATAAAAGGTAAATTAGTAACAGTAATGTTTTAATTTGCACAATATCCTAGATTTTCTAAAAAATTTGGTATCAAAACATTCATTTTCTCCTTTTTGTAAAATAAAGTACATAGAGCATTAATTTTCAATGGGTGGGTCACAAGAAATTTTAAAACATGCAATACCTGACTATTTGGTCAGGGGCACTGACCTCTTTTCTCTTAGACTGTCAAATAAAAAAAATGACAACAGCCAACACAATAATCATCCAATGTGAATGAAAATCAAAATTTTATCTTTTTTTTTTTGTTCAGTGAGCAAAAAATATACTTTTTGGGTGTGCTGCAGAATTATAGTAATTAATTAGTGTGTGCCATGAGATGAAAAAGGTTGAAAATCACTCACATAGAACATTAACACGTTCAGAAATCACCTAAGCTCACATATCTACCAAGTAACTCAAGATCAAGAATGTTTTCAGAATCCATGTTATTCTTTTGGTATTACTTAATGCTCTCACTCTGAAAACCATCTGAAGCTATTTCCTTCATTAGCATTTTTCTGAAAGATGATTAAAATTTTAAATTGATTTTTTCTTTCCCATCTAATCTCCCTATTTCTCAAGAATCCATATATAATCTTCAATTTTTCTATCATAATAATGTTGTGGTCCTAGAGAGATATTTTAAATATTAAACCTAAACTGCTTATACTATTACACAATAATATAAGCAATGATCTTGATTAGGTTACATTTTAGAGCTCCTCTGATCCTGTGGTTCTATTTTTTTTTTTTTAATGTAGTCAACATACTATGCTCTATTAGTTTCAAGTGTACGGCACAGTGATTTGGGAAAGTGATCACAACGACAATTCTAGAAACGTGCCACTGCACAGTACTGCAATATTAATGACTATATTCCTCATGCTGAACAGTGCATCCCAGTGACATTTATAATTGGAAATTTGTACCTCCTAACCCCCCTCACCACTTTCACCCATCCCCCTACCGTCTTCCCCCTGCCAACCATCAGTGTGTTCTCTGTGTCTCTGAGCCTGTTTGGTTTGTTTTGATTGCTCACTTGTTTTGACCTTCAGATTTCACATATAAGTGCAATCATATGGTATCTGGCTTTCTCTGGCTTATTTCACTTAGCATAACACTCTCTCAATCAACGGTTGCCAATCTTGTTGGCACCAGGGAACGGTTTTTCCATGGAAGGGGGTAGGGAGGAGTCAGGAGGTGAAGCTCCTCCGGGGACCTTCACTTGCTCACCACTGCTTACCTCCTGCTGTGTGAACTGTTGGGATTGGGAGGTCAGAGACAGAAGGAGGAGCTCAGGAGAACGTCCCTCGTGGCCTGGTTCCTAAGAGGCTACTGACTGGGGGCTGGGGACCCCTACTCTAAATCTATCCATGTTGTCGCAAATAAAAGGACTTCATTCTTTTTTTGTGGCTGAGTAATATGCCATTGTGTGCATATTTGTATCTATATCTCTATCAATACACCACAACTTCTTAATCCATTCATCTACTGATTTACGCCTAGGCTGCTTCCATATCTTAGCTATTGTAAATAATGTGATGAACATAGGGGTGAATATATCTTTTTGAATTAGTGTTTTTGACTTCAGATGAATACCCAGAAGTGAAATTGCTGGGTCATATGTTAGTTCTAGCTTTAATTTCTTCAGGAAGCGCCGTACGGTTTTCCACAGTGACTGCCCCAATTCACAACCCCACAAACAGCACACTGCAGGTCCCACCACAGCTCTGTACCCACGGCCACATAGGGGCACACAGATGCATAAAACAAAAGAAGCTTCACATTTTTTTCCTCTAAGTGACAAGTACTAGATTGTGAACCTTTAAATTGATTTCAATGGATGATAATATAAGAGGTCAGTTCAGAAAGTATCCAGCCATGTACTATGAAAAAGAGACATTTACTGAAGAAGATACAAGATTATAGGACAATGACACCTCAGTCCCCTTCAAGGTTATGACCTTCTTGAAGAAACAGGGTTCACTGGTAGCTGTTTGAATCAAATTATTACAAACGGCAACATAATGTTCCTTCTGCTTTGGTAGCAGAATCCGTGAAATGAATTTTGCCATGACATGTTTCATGTCAAGATCCTGCACCAAAATCTTAGGCATAATAGTTTTTGAAATCCCCAGATCAGCTTCTAGTTCTTGAAATGTTGGTCGCCGATTTTTGCTGATTGCAGCCCATACACTGGTTGTCGCAGGCCTTCCAGAACGTGGATCACTTTCAACAGACTCTCAACCATCTTTGAAGCATTTGTGCCACACTTATTTGCGTTGCACTAATTGCATCTTCCTCGAAAGCCTTCTCAATATCTGAATAGCTCCCACAGAGGAGTGTTCAAGCTTAATGTAAAATTTGATGCAGATTTGTTGCTCTACTAGCCCAGTCATTTAGAATGTGACAGCGACACAGTATACATGCTCACTCAACGGCATCTACCACCCCCACTGACTAGTACAGTGGAGTCATCATTGTTCAAGCATGCGTATTCCAGCCCACTCTCCTTGGTTGCCAGGTTACATCAATGTCACACAAACTGTTTTTATTTTCACCAATACATTTATTGATTTGGATATTCTGAGTGTATATCAGTTATCTCCCACTACTGGCTTCTGGTGGGTAGATGCCAGGGGTGCTGCTGAACATCTTTCAATGCCTAAGACATCTCCGCAGCAAAGAATTATTTGGCCAAAATGTCAATAGTACCACAAAACTTCCAAACCACTTTTGACACGTTAGATCAATTCACAGTACCTTCTCCATACATTGCACAAATCTTTGTGTTTCAGTTGCATTTTTACCTTTCTTGAAATACTAAAGCATACTACACTGAAAATGTTTGTATTTCTTCCATCGTAAATATTAAAATGGCTGCGCAAAAATTCAGCAATTTTGATAATTTTTTTTAATGCACACTGATATTACAGCTCTACAACATTGTTTCAAATTAAGTTAAGACAACTAAGCACTACTAGAGCCATAGTTCGGAAAAAACTAAATGAACTTTTTGGCTAAAAGTTCGAGAGTCTGAAAATCAGAGATCTAGACCAAATTGTTTGTTTTATCAACAGTGAAACTTAGAAGGGTTGTGTCTTGCCCACTGTGGTACAAGTAGTTAATTTTAGAGCTAAAATCAGAACACAGGAGTATGGGTCCTAGGTCAGATTTCTTTCTGTTCTATAAAGCTTTCTCTCACCACATTGTTTTATCTTTAAAAGCCACATGAAACTTTTCAACCTTGTTAACTAATAGTGGTTCATATATCTCAAGTCAGAGCCACCCATTTCCTTTGTACTGTTTCTGGGAAAAAGTACATTCGGCCATCTAGAAGGTAAATTTCATGACAGAAGAGAGCTTACCTGTCTTGTTCACACTATACCCTCAACACTTCCATGCCTGGCTCACAATATTCACTATGTTATTGTTGGCCGCATAAATGACTCCAATCTCATGGAGTCATGAGATAACCATTATCTCAAAGTTGGTAATTTTCAAATATGAATACACATTCCTTTTAACACACCTAAGGTTTAACTTTATATTTCATTATGTGTCCTGTATTTACATTCATCCACCCTAATTTTCAAGCAGCAGGCCCCCTTCAAAGGCACTGCTTGTCATTTTTAACCGAACCTGTGTAAAACTGAAGTTATCACACTCAGTTATTTTTCTATCCCTATCTAAGGTACTACCAATATTCTAGGCATCTTGTCTGGAAATTCTCATGTAGCAGGATTTGTAAATGCAAGTTTTCTCAAAAGTCAGATGGAAACTAAATGTCTGAATCATCTGAATATAAGAAAAGAGAAATGAGGCTGTAAACAAACCAGAGAACACAAGCTCTTACCTAAAACTGTCGCTGACGCTTTGTGTTTAATTTGTGGCCTGCACATCTAGAGCCAAACCTGGCTCACAGTCCCCCACTTCAAGCACCTGTGCTCAATTTTTCATCAGACCTTGTTGACCTTTTCCTGTAAAATGCCTCTTAACAATGGATCTGTACTAACCAGTCCCATCTGGATTCAACCAGCAGATATCTTACCAAGCTTCTTCAACTCTAAAAATAAACCCCTTATTGCTCAATACAATCACCCTAAATTTTTCTCCTTTAAACCACCTTTATCATGTCCTACCTGTATTAACAAAAACATCAATGCTTCCCTCTATTCCACTGTTTTGAACGTTTCTGGCCCAAACTCCTGGTTCATACTTGCTCTCTGCCCAATTTTATGCATTCACACTGTAGTCAGGCCAGTCCCCTAACCAGCCCTCTTGTGCTTTTGGTCATGTTGCAGTACTGTCCAGAAACACCTCCTTATCTCCACCTTTGCATATTCTACCCATCCTTCCAACATCTCTATCTCCTTCAGGAAGTCTTTGCAAGTCCTAACTTCTCTCTCTTCCAGAAATAGGCACAGCCTTTCACACACCTTGGGCTGATCATTTTACCTTCCTTGTCACTACTTTACATGTTTAATTCCTAGCTCTCTTCAGAGGTTATAAAGACACTGATGCCTGATACCGTATCTTAAAAACTTTTAGTAGCAGCATACCCGATATTGTTTTATACAAAAAATGTTTTAAAGATTGATAAAACTAAGAGTCTTCTTCTCCCAAAATCCTAGTGGCAAGCTTTACTATTGTAATAGTAGGTGTTCTGGAAGTCCCCAGAGTTGTATAACCTAGAATTTTCTGTAAAGTGGGAAGAGGAACTAAACTATGACACTATATCCACCACATCCTGTTCCCAGCAGGAGTTCTAAACCAAAAATTCAAGAAGGCATTCTTGAATCAACAAAACTTTCTAGAGTCACAGGATATGTACGACTAGTTAAAATAAAATTAATTAAAATTGAATTAAATTAAAAATTCTGTTTCTCAGTCACACTATCCACATTTCGACTGCTCAAGGAACATATATACAACACTGTAGATTATTTCCCTCACTGTAGGAAGTTTTACTGGACATCTCTGTTTTAGAAGAATAAGCTAAGAGCAGTTAAGATACACTCCTATTTCTTATTCACAGTATTCCAGGATGTTTGGTCATTTCAGGATACCATCTAAGAATGTCAAACAGACAGTAATTCTGAACTATAAAACTGTCAATATGGCTCTATTCAAATCCAATCCATATCCTTCTACCCTTTAAAGTCCTTGACTGTCTGTATTGCCTTATTACACTTGTCATATTTTCCTGTGTTTAAGCAACAAAGTTATTTCCAAATGAGCAATACAGATGACCAAATTGTACAGGCTCCCTTGCTCTGTTAAGGTTTTCTTGACCACCAAGTAAACACAATGGCCACAGAGTTTGAGCGACTAAGGTACAGACAGATGCTCATGATAAAGGTTAAGTATCAAACACCTCTCAAAGTCATTCAAGCAAAAACTCTGCGACAAAGACAAAGTGCACATTAAAAAAATAATAATAATACCATTTCCAAATATGAAAGAAAAATTTAAATCAAGACTAGAAAATGTAGATTTGAATGATTTCTGAATTCTCTGTTCAGTGCAGTAAGCTAGATTCTGCAAGCTCTCTAAGGTATTCCTTTGTATCTGCTATCTTCAAGTAGAAAGGCAGACAAAACTGTCTGGTACCCATTGTAAGATGACATCAGTGGGCTACCTGTTTCCTGGCAATTTTGTTTTGTGGGGTCAATAAACTTAATTACCTTGAAAGGTCTTAAAAGTTATAGAAAAACATGTCAAAGCATCCAGAGTTTACTTTCAATTTCAACATATTGGAATAGCTGTAAAAATAAAACACTGAAACGATTTATAGATCCTGATGCCCAGCACTTTACAGATCCCAGCCTAACTCCCTGTGGCTTAAAAGGTTGACAGTATTCATTTTACAAGGAGTGTCTGCACAACAATAGGCCCCTAAGGATTCAGCTACAGCAAAAGTCCCACTTAAATCACTGGAAAGGGAACAACTGAAAAAGGAAATTCAAAATGTTCAAAAGAAAACCGATCAATTAAAATTTCTACCTTAATACATTTGCTGTAATAGAGTAAGCTTAGAGTGAGAGACATTTAAATTGTTACATTTGATTAATACCTTTATACTATTCTGTCAATATTCAATGAAAGAGAATAATCATTTTAAACCAACTATTTGACACAATTTCCCATATCCTCTCCTACAGTCACAAAAGCATTGTCTACCAAAGTCAGAAGTTCACATTGATAGCTTTTCCCCCCTGAGTATTTCTGTGTATGTAATATGCAGACTGTAAATATGGGAAAACCAATTACTCCTCAGAGAATAGATATAACACATACTATTGCTTCAATAAATCAGAGATATAGTGGAAAACCACAAATCAAATTTAAGTTTGATGGAATGTTTATAAGACTGGGAGCTGGGGTTGCACTTTGTTTATTATCTATGAAGAAAACAAATTGGTCTTTCTGAACAGAAACTGTTGCCTTGTTAGAAATTGCTCATCTATTAGATTTCCTACTGTTCAGCTGCTTTCAGAATGGCTTGGAAACTCTTCCTACTTGAAATAAGAGATCAAAGATTCTAACACAACTTATTTTATGTCTTACAATGAAATCTGCTCTATAGTCAAATCCAAAGAATACGTAATTTTAAAACACCACAGATCAGTATATCCACACAGCTCTTATAATAGTAACTACTCCAGACTATAAATTCTGAGCCAGAAAAAAATTTTCCATGAAAATAAAAATACCTATAAAGAAATTCTTAGTAAATGATATAAAAAATATAAAATATTAATCTAAAAATACCTAAGAGGCTTATAAGAATTTATTCAAAAACTTGAAAACATGCCCACATTTTTAATTTCGTTTTAAATATTTACCTAGATTTTCATGAGAAAATATTTTTCCATAACACCAATGAATAGACATGCACTTCAAAATTCAGACTGGAATATGGAGAACATTAGGGAGCAAGAGGTTACATTAAAAGGAAATAGTCGCTATTTGGTAATATGAGAAGTAAAAATGATGATTAACAACTAGCCAAACATTCTGTGGGTATATTTTCAAGGACATACTGAAATTTACTGTGAGGGAAATGTAATTTTATGAATATTATATTCAGCTGCTAAAGTAAAAGCAAGAAACTCTTTTTCTTCCCACTAATGCCAATAGGAAGAAAAAATCACAGGGTCGAAAGGGGGTAAAAATGACAGATTTAGTTAAGATAATTGATAACAGATTTATTATTTGTAAAGAGAACCAAAAAGGCTGAAACTAAGCAATTATTTATGTTTATATAAATAATGGACACCCGTGTTTGTAAAGAGTGCTTTAATTTAGTTACGTATTTATTGGTTACAGGGGCAGTATCCACGATAACATTAGTTCTGGAAAGTGGGAGATGGAAGGCTTAATCTGACCAACTGGACAGTTTTTTTAAACTCAGTGTTAAACAGGAGAGCATTTTAAAAAATTTTGTCATTGAGCACAAAATGCCTCATTTTTCTTAAAAAATAATGAACTCTAGGAATTAATTATCTATTCATTTGTACTGTTTAGGTAAATGCAGTAAATTGAGCAGTAAGATTAGATCAGAGATCACTTCTATAGTTAAAAAATATCAAGTATGTCAAGAAGTTTTAAATATTCTCTCACACGTACAGAAGGCTTCAGGTGAGGCTTTACCAGCTGGCTCGACCCGTTGTTTGCTCTGTAAAACCAGATAGGCTTCCTTATCTAGTGTTTAATCCTACTATTTTTTTTTTTTTTGAACTAAAATATTTCATTGTGGCTTAAGCTTCTTGTCCTTTATACTTTAGAATCCTGTGACAGATAGAGGGAACCATGCTTCCTATTAATTGTGTCTCAAACAGTCAATTAGCTTGCCTGTCCTTAGTTTCTTTCCTTTATCTCAAGAGAACTATAAAATACAGGTATTTATGCTTGCCCTATTTAACTTTACAGGGACAAATGAGAAAAGGTCACTGGAAATACTCTTTAAATGGTAGAGTACGAGGTAAATGATCTAATCCTAGTGCAGGTCTATCAAGTTCAAGTATATCATACCTCTGCCTCAGTTTCCTCATCTATAAAACAGGTAACTTCAAATTTCCACTTCCCCTTTTTGTTTGATTCCAATGGTTTGGTAAATAATGTGAAAATACTGCTAAAGGACTATGAAGTATCAAACTGCTTAGATATATAAAAGGCAAACATATCAAACTGGAAAAAAAACATTACTTTACCTAATTTGATCTTAGATACTGGAACGTTAGTAAAAGGAAGAGAAACAGTGGTGCTAACAAACATTTCCATGAATACAAGTGTAAAGGAAAACAGCTAGATATAGAAGGTATGATTACTCATACCTTAATTTAAACTGACTTTATGTTTATAATATGGGGAAAAAAGTAGTCCTAAAGATTGGTAAGAAAATAAACAAAAAATTATTTTCACATACCAGTATAAATAATTAGCCAGTGTTGAGTTTTTGCAGGCTCTTGATATCAAGAAGGTACAGAGATCTTGCTGAAAGAATGAAAAGAAATGTGTACATGTTATATTACCATCTGCTATTAAGGAGAGAATGAGAATCTACATCTGCCCATCAGTTTTCATCTATATATCTTATGTCACAGATCTGATTTCATGCATCCATGTATCCCTCCATCCCTCCACCCCGTATTTATTCTAACCCAGGCAATGCTGTCTAAGAGGTAAGGATACCATGGTTGAGAATTCCTTGTCCTACTGGAAGCTTAACATTTAGTGTAGGAGACATTACAGAAACAGTCATAGAAATAAATTAGACTGGGAAGTCAGCAAAGGCAATGAGGATGTGACATTTAGGCAAGACCAAAATGACACTGTTTACAAAGGCCCTGAACTTGACTGCTTAAATTTTAAAAAAGCCAAATGTGGCTAAAATAGAGTGAACATTAAAGTAAAGGAGGCTGAAAAGATAGGCAAAGGACAGGTAGTGCAAGACCTTTAAGGTCAAACTACTGAGTATGAATTTTCTTTCTCAGAACCATGGATACTCAACAAAAAATTTAAAGCAAGAGAGCGAGATGATCTGATTTACACTGTATGAAAATGAACTTCAGCTGCTGCTCTGAGAGGTGCAGACCAGACATCAGAAGTCTATAAGAGTGAATCGTGAAAACAGAGACAGAAGTAGACAGATTTTTTTCAAAAATGCACTGTAAGTATAATTATTAGGAATTGCTGATAAAGAGGAAGCAGGAAGAAAAGAATGGAACTGACAGTGACCCCCAAATTAATGGGTTGATTTTTTATGGCACAGATGAAAATTATAGGTGAGGCATGGGCTAAAGTGTGGAGAAAGGTATTTGTATTTTGAAATGACTGTCAGATATACAGGAAGATCAAGTAAGTTGATCATTTGGATCGTTTGGATATATGAATCTAAAACTCAGGTGAGAAAAATGCACCAGAAAAATAAATCTGAGTTTATCACTACAGCCTAGGGCAAGAGTATAAATTGAGAATAAAAGAGGATCCGGAGGAACATTAAGATATCAAGCAGTGGAGAAAAAAGTACTGACAAAGGAAAGAGAAGGAAGAGCAAAAGAGGTGAAGAGGAAAACAAGGGACGCGTAGAGTCATGTAAACCATGACAAGAAGTAGTTTTTTTGATGGAGTTTTTTTACTTTGCTGAATACTGCTGAGATGAACTAAAAACTATGCACAACCACAAACATCAAAGTCATTTATGAGTTTAGCAAAGCAAGTTTTAAAATAATGATGGGAAGCAAAGACCAGAATGATGTGCTAAAGACTTGAAGACAGAAAGGAAGGGAAGAGTCAGTAGGTACCAACAACTCCTTTGAGAAGCTTGATCATGAAGAGAAGTAAAAAAGTAAGATGCTATGTCAAGGGATGTGGTGTAAAGGAAGATTTTCTGTTTTGTTTTTTCATTTCTGAATGTTTAAGATGGGCAATATTAACACCGATTTGAACACTTCTACCAGGAAGAGAAGAGAGCATCTCTTTAAAGAGAGTTCTTTTTCTGCTGGGTAAGAAAACACAAGGAAAGAATTGGAGGCAAGTCATGTCTGTAAATCTAGGGAGGAGAAATTGGGACCATTCTTACCTACTGGTTTCTATTTGTTTATATTAAGGATGAGGCAGAACTGGCCTCTGGAGACTGGGAGACAGGACATAATGAAGAGAGTAGAACAGGAATGAACGAGTCCCTGCAGAGCAGGGACCGCGACACAACCAGAGGAATGTAAGACGGCAGACAGTGCTGAGTGGCCACTGACGACTGTGCTCTTGGATTTACAGTGACACCAACATGCATGGCTAAGTTCGTTTCTTCAGCATTACTCAGGCACAGAGAAATGAGGTGATCATTTGCCTTGTCAAAAGTTAAGATTCTGCCAGGAGAACTGAAGTTACTAATAAAAGAATGGCTTAAATAATGTGGCAGGGAGTAAAAGCTATATTCAGAGGAAAGCAAATATTAAAGGGGGTTGGTGAACAAAGAAAAGGGTAGAAATCAATGCATTAGAAGTTTCAGTGCAATAGTGGTACTTACAAAAGTTAAGCTAGAGTAATAAGAGGTTGTTATTACAAAGCAGATATGTCAGTACTCTCACAGGTAGCAAGAATCTTATCTCCAATTTTAGAGCTAAAACCTGAGCACTTAAGTATAAATGTGCAACATTTAAGAGCCCAGTAAGAAAACTCCTCATTTAGAAAGCTAGGATGTAATGTTGAATTCATGAGTTGAACAGGTAGAATCTAGGCCTAAAGTTTTTCTTTGGTTATAGGAGAAGGATACTATGCTTTTATTTAGAGATGTAAAATTTAAATAGAAAACATGTGTTTGACATACTTTTTTTCATTAAAAATTATTTACATAACATAAATAGGGAAGTCTTACATTTAATAACAGTTGTGAAGCAGAACACACATACTGTAAAATTTTAAACTCAATTTGGATGAACAATATTTTAAAAATTTAAAACAAAAGAATGTTCTTGAGGCAAAAAATGATGTCATACTGAAGTTCAGAGATAATAAAAAATGCTGAATAAATTATTTAGAGGTAAGTGCCTCTAAATAATTACTGACTGAATACAACAATAATATTATCCAATTTGGGGGTTAAATAATATATAATTAAATTGCTGAATAAAAATTACATACAAGTAAAGACGAGTACTGTTTTGGAAAGGGGCAATAATGATTATGCCAGACTTAAAGTTAAGAATAGATACTAAAATATCTATGGTAACCAGCAAAAGAATTGATATAGACCCCTAAGCTGGGCATAGAGATGGAAGGAGGAAATCCAGCTGAACACAGACAAGGAAAAAAAAAGATATAACAAAATTGAAAGTACCACATAAGATGGTGAAATAATGCAAATATAGTTCCAATCAACAACAAAAACAAATGGCGTAAAATTCTAGTTAAGAGTATTAAACTTGATTAAAAAACAAAATCTAGCTATATGTTTTTAAGAGAGAAACCTACCTTTAAAAAGCCAGAAAATACTGAAAGGAAAGAACTAAAAAGCATACCAGTGAATGCTAATCAATACAAAGCTCTATTAATATCAGACAAACCAGACATTAAGAAAAAAAATCTTAATTAGATATAAAGAGGGTTACTAAACAGTGATAAAAGATTTATTATTTGAACATACCTAATAAAACACCTTCAAAATATTTAAAGCAAACACCAAAAGAAATAGAAGGAGAATTTGATAATTTCACCATTATACAAGGGGAATTTTACCCTAATTCTTTAACAGATCAAGGCATTTAAAAAAAAAATTAGGGAGGGTACAGGAGATTTGAACAACACAACGAGTAAGCTTACTTTAGTGACATATAAACAATGACGTACCCCAAAATTGGGGAACATGCCCTCTATTCAAGAATCCATGGAATTTATGAAAAATGACCGTATTTGGGCAATGAGCCTTAACTGAATTTCTACTTTCTAACATTTAGCCAGGCATGCTTAGTGGTTTCCTGAAACTCCAAGAGAGACAGGGAAGGAAAGGTTAAGCAAAACACTCCTCAGGTATGGGGGAGGACAAAAGGAAGTTATCTGTAAAGATAACAGGAAATTCAGCTTTGTTGGATATCACCTGGATATCCCCTAAACACTCAGCTGTTTATGAATATCTTAAAGGTGACAGCTTCTGATGCAGTATTATTACTCTGCTCAGGGCAGGGGAAAGGGAAGGGTGGGAGGCTCGGTGGAGGGGGACAAGGGGGGAAACTGGAACAACCGTAAAGGCATAAAATATTTTTAAAACAACAATACCAATCGATGTTTCCCTCCCCCTCTTTCTCACTCCCTTCCCCCTCTCTAAAAAATAAATAAAATCTTTAAAAAAAAGAATAAAACCTATAGTTATTTTTCGCCTAAAAATTTTGAGTGCTAGCTGGTGTGTAAAGCTATCTTGCACACATTGGATTTCAGAATCCAATCACCTCACACCATCTCAATGTAAACCACACTAGCTCCAGTCACCAGCAGATCTCGCCTGCATTGTTTCAGTAACTTCCAAGTAGGAGGCATCTGATACCATGGCCTACAAGGCTCGGCAGGACTGCCTCCTGCTCTTTCTCTGAGCCATTCTTCTGTCATGCTCCCCTTTGCTCACTCCACAGAGCCAGGCACACTGGCCTCTGTTGTTCTCAAACACACCTAAGCTTTGGTCTTAGGGCCTCTGCAGTCACTGTTCCCTCTGCTTGAAATGCTCTTCCCAGATCACCACATCGCCTTTATAAAGATGGTACTTTCCCAGGGACGCCTTTACCAACCAATCTTTCCAACATTGCCACTGACTAACGCCGACCCCAACACTCCCTGTTATCCTTCTCTGATTTCTTTCTGCCCACCGAAAATAAATACTCTCTCTTCCATTATATATAAATATAATTCACTATCATCTGCCCAAACACAAGAATGTAAGCTACATGAAGACAAATATTTTGACTGTACCATCTCCAGCACCTAGACATAGTTTCTATTATATAATAACAGCTCAAAAAATAAGTGTGAATGAGTGAATCACTGAATCAATTCATCAGTCCCTTAGCTTTGCAAGGGCAAAATAACTAAACTGGAGCTGAATGTTTTTTTTAAAGGGCTCCCCTACGCATTCTATGATCTTGTAGTTAAAATTACTGTTTCAATATTTTCTATTACATCAAAAGGTTCAGACAGCATGCAAACTTTGGTTAACAGTTACTAGTGAAAACAAGAGTCCTTCCATCATCAACATTAACTCACAAGTTTTGAATGAAAGTAATACATATACTGAATACATTAAAAAATCAACTGATCTTTCTAATATCAAACATATAATATTTGTTGTAAATAGCAGGGGCATAAGATTGTTCTCAAATTATAAGACTTAGAGAGAAATTCAACAAAACACACGAGTGCTCCTGCAAATGCACTCCTAATGTACTTCTCACGGCACCAGCCAAATAGGCCTCTTTTACACAAAAGTTAGCCTACTTATCTAAAAGGATTTAATTCCTCTGTGAGTTAAAAACAGTTTTGTAATGTATTAGCCTTAGTATCAAAGTTATACATTTCAACAATGTAATCACAAACACTAACAATTATAGTAATGTTCATAGATATGTTAACAATAAATATTCTGAGTTTCTTTAATAAAATATTTAAGCCAGTTTATTTTCACATTGCATATGAATCCATTTATATACCCAAAGCACCAATAAAATGCCTCGAATTGAAGATCATCTGGCACTTTTTGCTGAGAGGAAAAATCATAAACATGCATCATAAAACAAGTTATTTAATAAAGTTGCGATATTTGGTTCATTAATCAAAATCAATGTTTTAATAACCACCATAAAATGTGTATCTGGTAGAACTTTGCCTACAGGAAACTTGAAAAGCTCTGTACTCACCTCCAGATTTTCACTGTCTGAACCTTCCTTTGTTTTAGATGCAGGAGGAGGGGAAGACACTGGAGGCAGAGGGCTGCTTATAATTTGGGAGCTGAAAACATAATAGGAGATGTCACTGATATGTAAAGTATTCTGTCTGGAAGAGAAGACACTTTTTTTTCTTTTTTTTTTTAGCACAGTTCACTTCAACCATGTCTGGGTAACATGTCACTTCCTAAGGTGTGCTCTGTGCAACACAAGAGTTGTATTATTCTTTGGAAATGAGGCCCCATAGTCAAAGCTTATGGGTATAAGCCTCTTGGGGATGTATAAGTCTGCATATTGATCGTATAGTTTTAAAAAAAAAAGCCCATTTTACTTTAAATGAGCATTTCAGCATTTCTCAAGCATATCTGTCCAAAAAAACCACCCCTTAATATTTTATTATCTTTAAAAAAAATACACAAATTAGTCAGCAACAAACTATGATTTAGGAAATATTGGGTTACAGTTTATACCCGACCATAAAATCTTAAGCAGACGCCTAAAAAACATTCTGTGTGGCACAAAGTAATGAGGAAGGTACGCAAGCACGACTACAGACTGAAGGCCTCCCATGTATAGTAGGAGAAAATGTAAGGGGTCTCTTCTCTTAAAAATAAAATATATATATATATGTATATGTATGTGTATGTGTATGTGTGTATATATATGTGTGTGTGTGTGTGTGTGTGTGTGTGTGTGTGTGTGTGTGTATATATATATATATAAAGCAGCCTAGGGAAGAAAAAAAAAGTTTTTTCTTGATTTTCAGTTCTTCTCCAAATGAAACACAGAACATTAAAAACAGCATTATCATAAAAAATTCAGAAATATAATCTTGAACCCATGTGATAATTGAAATAATTGGACTGACTCAGATAATGTGATTTCCAAATTTCATTTGGTCATTAACAAATCTCATGACCTTTTTCAAAACACTCGATATCACTAGGTGTCAAAGTTCTCATTCAAAGGTTCTTATTTATCTCAAATATTTTAAGATTTTTATGGAAAGCACAAATAACAAAGTATAAAGAACAGAGGATCTGGAGTCAACTCCACCATCTGCAAGTTATATGGAGTTTGGGCAATTTACTTAACTTCTAGTTAAGTCTTTGATATCTAAATCTGGGATACAAATACCGACCACAGTGGACTATTGTAACAAATCAGTACGTAGACTACCTCACAGTGTCTGCTAAAGAGGTGAGAGTTCGTAACTGTTATTGTTACTAGCTGATTTAATTCAAGTAATATATAATTTCTTCAGTATAACTACTAAAAAATATAATTTACAATAAAATATTTGAGATCACTGACATACCCTGTCCTTTATTCTATGTTTACACAAACATATGACAGTTAGTGACCTCTATAGGTCAGGCACTTTTCTAAATGCTTTATGTGTATTAACTCATTTAATCTTTCAACAACTCTTAAAGATCAGTTATTATTGCTATAGCCCCATTTTTAAGATGAGTAATCAGGGCCATACAGAGACTGTGTAACTTAACACAAGTGTACACAGCGAGTACGTGGCAGAGTTAAGATTTTAATTTAGGTATTTTGACTTCTGCAAACACTGTACTGTGTTTTGTGAGTGCACATGGCATATTCTCTGGTAAAACTTCAAACTCAGTACCAAGTAGGACTTGGTACACCTGAGGAAAACGGAAAGGAAAAGACAGTTTGAAAAGGAGGGAAACTATCAGATTTGGCCATTAGTCCTCCCTGAATATTCATACCTATCTATTTCTGCAGAATTTATTCCAGCATTTGACACACTCTCTGACACTGAACCCTGACTGTCCTTCTTGGTAGGTTCTAATCCATTCTTTATATCATCAAAATTTTCATATTTGAGAGCTTGGACCAGCTGTAATAGGTACATCAACAAATCCTGGAAAACAAACAAAAAAGAAGATAATATTAGAAAAACAAATGCAGTACATTATAGACAATTTATTCCGAAATACTAAGCTAACAATTCCCTTTACCACTTATCAGCCGCTTTACCTTTGGCAGATCGCTAGGACACCTAACCTTCTGGTGTCTCAGTGGGACCTCAACCATGAAAGGGACACAATCGCACAAGCCTTAGAGATATGAAGAGTTAATCAGTTAAAAGAAGAAAGTCACCAAACAGTGCCTGGCACAGAGTAAGTGGCCAGCAAATGCCTGATTTAAAGCAGTATCTAAAGAGCAAAGCAAGGAAAGGATTGAGATCATCCATGTAAAAAAACTAAAATTAAGGCAGGATCCTTTTTACAGCAATAAATCAGGTAACATGATTTTATATTCAAGATTACATAAGAAGCTCCAAATTTTCAAGTTTTTTAAGACTTTGTTTCACAACCTTTTCTGGTTAGGATTTTTTAAAAATTGGCATTCCTTTTATTTTTCCTGAAAGCTCAAGTTTTAAAGAATTTGAGTTGTTTTTTTCAATTAAAATCCTACAAAATAGACATTTTAATTTTAACACTCATAATTAAGCAAAATACTTACTTTACTGACAACTTCCAATAACAATTTCAAGAAAACAAATCCCAAAAGCTTTTATTTTCCATATGCCTACTGACAATCAATGGGATAATTAGGGCTAAAAAGTATCAACAAAGTAGCTTTTACGCTTCTAAGTGGTCCCCTGACAATAAAAAGACTCTTTAGGCTTACTGTTTAGGATAAAAATATTTCCTGTCTTACTCTATAAATGTAGTTCTTAGCCCTTCCCAATGACTTTATTTAAAGTATCTATTATCTTCCAGTTCCAACTGTCACTCACCTAGTTAGCCCGTCTAAACTTACAATTAGATAATTTTGAGACTTTGCAACTACCAATTTAATTTAACTCTTTAGCCCACCGATCAGGTTAAATCCCCTGTAAAAACTTCATGATTTACACTTTCCTTTCCCATTTGTAACGTAACAACAGCATTGGTAGTTACTTGCTTTGTTCTTTGCCTTTTCCACTCTATTATAAGCTCCGCGGGACAGAGACCCTTCCTTAATACCATAATATGGTATTTCCCTTTTCCCTTCCATAATATGGTTTTTCATCATTTTTTTAACATTAACATAACCAAGATTTTTATCATTAGCCACATACTAATGGAGTAATACACATGATTTCACCACTAAATGATTTTTTTACAAGAAAATTAAATGAGAGCTTAATGGGCTTATTAATCCTTATTCAAATATATTAATCAATGTCAGTGGCCAGGAAAATCAAGTGACTGTAGCAAAGCTCCTCTATAGTGTACTGTTGTTTCTAAAAATTATTTTTAATTAGAGCAATAAACATATGATTTTCTATTGTTTTATTTGAAATTTATGGCATCTAATAGCAATAGGTATGGTTCAATGCTTTTTCTACGAGTGAATTACATAACAGAAAATTGATTTATATATTTAATGACAAGTAACCTTCCTGGGAGGTAGAAGTAATTCAATTTCACTGCTAGTCTTCATTAGCAACGCACGCTTTGGAAATGTTGCTGATTGTATCACCAATTGTATTGTGTTTTCCTAATTACAGAAAAGACTTATCATATGACATAAAAAAGGCAGCATTGTTATTAAATTCCCCAGGAAGGAGAAATTCAGAGAAAACTTCCCCCTTTTAAAGTAACTCATCACCATCTGATTTGTTGGTCATCTGGTATTCTATATTCAAACTATAGTTTCCTTCATTTGTATGGAAATGAATTAATAACTTCAATAGTAAGTACAAAGTCTGTTTGCTCATTATACAGTCACATCTTGAAAAACATAAAATTCTTCCAAGCATGAAGAACACAGCATACAAGTAAAACAAAGAAAAAAAGAAATCAGGTTTCCATCTCAGACAATTCAGTAAGAATTTCCCAAGAGCTATGAAATATTATTTAGATACTGATCACCATTTTACTCAAGAAAAAGTTAATGGTAATGCTTCAGGATGCAAATGAAAAGTCTCAGGTCAAAATCACTCACTGACTCCCCATTTCTTACTGAATTGAGAGTAACTCTTCATTTACAGTTAGAGACATGGGTTCTGATCCTGTCTCATAGCTACATACATCCCACATACCTATTAAAGCGAAAGACTCGCTCACACTGCTCTTCTCATCTGGAATGTAAATTCTTGTCCAACTGTGAAAATTCTATTCTTTTGTCATGCCTCTCAAATGCCACTTCCTTCTCAAATTCTAATAGGGAATCTCTCCTTTTGAGCCACACAGCAATAAGAAATATGTTTTAAAAAATTTCCTAAGTAGAATATTAGCAAGTCAAATTCAGAAAGGTATTAAAAGGTTAAGATTTATTTTACAAATGTACAAGAGCATTAGGAAAACTATAAGCATAGATTTCATATACATATATATATAAAAATATAAAATATACTGTTCTTCAGATAGCATGGTGCTGCCCATAGAAAAAACAGGAACCCACCTAACACCTATTAAAATAAATCACTAAACCAAAAAGGTAAAATACAAATATTAAACCAAAAGCATAGCTTTCCATTTAACTAACAAAAGTAAGACATAAAATGGGTAATTTGTAACAACTGTCACTAAATTTAATTTTTAAAAAACACGTAAAATTTTTATGAAATCACAGCTTGAATTAAAAAAAAATCCTATCTTGAGGAGGGCAGATTTTGTATGATACTAGAGATTTTCACTTTGGTATCATAAAGATACAATTTTTCCTTAAATATAATATAAAATGTTAATGTAATTTCATTTAAGATTTTGCTGGAAAATCTTAAGAAAATGACAGAATTACTCTAAAATTCTTGGGAAAAATAAATGTGCAAATATTATAAAAGATTTACAGGAATCCATGAAGTCTAGAAACACAGTGTGTTTTTTTTTTCAAATTAAACACACCCTTGACATCATTTGACTTTACATTCATTAGCCTGTTTCCAGACTTTACAGACACCAAATGTATGTGTTGACAGTAAGAAAGTGTCTAAGAACATACTGTTAAGTCAATAAGGCAAGTTTTTAAGAATATATTAATAGGATATTCATCTTTATATTAATTTATAAAAAGAAGTATATATACTGTATATGCATATAGATGCTTGCAATTTGCATAGAGAATATATGAAAAGATTGATATATGAGTGGCTACCCTTTTGGGGGTAAGAAATTTTCAGAGGAGTGGAGTCCTGTATTATTTCTTTCAAAATTAAAAAGCAAAGTAAATCAGAGGGGAAAAGGTCACTATTACAGTAAAGAAACAAACCAAATGCTGTGGGAGCAGAAAAGAAACAAGCACAAATGCCGCTTGCTCCTGAGATGGGTAAGAGAAGTTTCTCAGAGGCGGTGAGCCCTGTGCTCCAGCTAAAGGATGGACAGAAGAATGGCACCTGGGACAATGGAGAAACACATGCAAAGGCAAAGGCCGCCAGGGAGACTGTGGCACATGGGAGGCATTACGCTACCTGTCCAAACATAAAACATTCAGCCATCCAAGATGTAGATGTTTAGACAAAATGACCTTTGATGTCTCTATTGATGCTATCATTATGTGATTCTATTAGTTTTTGCAATACCAAGAAACATTTGAAGTTTATAAAACTATAAATACTGTACTCCACAGCTATAGTAAAAGTAAAGGGGAAATGTGAAACCAATTAGGAATGAAAGGCACAACTTGCATGATTTTAGCATAAAATTTACATAATATAAATGTGTGATCTGTATGGACAAGTGCATGAATAGAGTTGTCAAAACTTTGCCACACATAATTTTTCCTTCATAATTATCAAGTGACATAAGTAACTATTATCTCCCTTTTCATTGGATAGGAAACTGAAGTGAGAATAATAAAGGGGTGGGCAAAAGTAGGTTTGCAGTAGTAAGTGAGTGAAACACAGTTTATTTTTGCATTATTATTTATTGTATTATTTTTCATACAAACAACATAAACCTACTTTTGCTCACTCCTGTATACAGTGTTCCAAAGACATATATATAGCTATATTGAGTCACAGAAAAGACAAAATTCAGATCTTAACATACAGTACATTTAACAAACTAATAGTTAACAGGATTTTTTAGCTGAGTATCTGTAATTCATTACTTAACTAAATTCAGAGACAGGGAAATCATGAGTAACTTAGCCACCATACTACTTATGCTGTATCTCTAAAACCTCAAAAAACTAACAATCAGTCATTGAACCATATGTTTTGCAATTTAGAATGCACTCAATGATTCTATCCTCTACCTCATAACAGAACTTATAAAATGGTCTAGAAGTACCTCAGTACCTACACAAACACTGATAAGTCCAAACACCAGGACTTGGCTTTGAGGCTTGAATGAACTAAAGCCAGACAATCATGAATGATTTACAATGTTTCTATTTGAATTCTGAACCCACCTTGAGGGACTGTGTTGACTACACCCCAGAGGCCTTTACCTGAACTCTATGACTCATGGCAAACATAGAGAATTAGTGACTTGAGTGAAATTTCTAATGAATTTCAAAATAAATATTTTAATATTTCAAATATATATCATAATAAATATTTTACTTCTGGTACACAATTAGGAAGAAGATAACATGATGAAACACAAAGCTTAGACTTGTTCTTTGACAGGAGAGTAAATAACATCCTGTGCTGATAAAATTACACAATATCTGAGATTTTCCTCTATGTAATCTAGTGGAGGGTAGGGAATGGGGAGAAGAGAGTACAAAATGTTATAGATGAAACAAGATGGGTTATGAGTTGACAGTTGTTAAAGACGGGTAAATTGTATGTGAGCACTCACCATACTTCTTTCATTAGTGGTTAAATTTTACTATAATTAAATAGAGACATACAAATATCAACCTTAACCAATATTGTGTTTTATACTAGAAATTCAAAATACTTTAATTATTTTTTCATAAAGGTCTCTGATGATAATTGTTCTATGGGATCAGCATTCCCTACATACACATCAAGGCCTGAGAAGAGATATCCCATATCCCATGAGCCCCCTAGACTAACATAAACTAATTAGGTTATTTTTTAAAGCACATTCACCCTATAAAAATTCGTAAGTAAAAAAAAAAAAAAAAAGTCTTTTTGCTGGATTAGTCTACCACATTAGGAATTACTAAAGTTCAAAATCCAGTAACACTTTGTGTCAACAGAGTGTTGCTCCTTCCTTTGTGGCCTTCGGAGTATAAAACTAGCCGGCATAAAAGTTGTGATATTTGCTCTCCAGAGGATTCAAAACCATCTTCAGAAAATCTACATATACACCTAATTGTCAGCAACTGAAAGTTGAAAGGAGTTTGAAGGCGAATAAGATGACCACACATCTCTATGCTTTAAAGGCCACAAGGGCTTTTCAAGGCTACAATTAAATGTGGCTTGTTGTATACTGACTAATAGAGGGATCTGAATTATTCCCCAGCTGGTGCTGCATGAAGCCATTTTTCATTAGAATTCCTTTTTCCAGACACAGCGATACAAGCTCTGCTGCCAGGTAAATGTCCTGGGAGAGATTGTCCTATCATGAAACAGATCAGGAAGTAAATTTTCATTTCACAGAGGAGTCCCTGGAGGAATATTTTAATTTCACTTCTGAAAACACACCTAGTATCCTCTTCCCTCTAAAAAATCTCCCGCCCCTCCTTTCACTTAGATGCACACATGCGCACACACACTCAGAGTCTGCAATCAGGTTCTGGCTTAAAACGTACCCGAAGAGGAATAGCGGATAATAACGCACCTCATCATCTGCCTGCCGCAGTCGCGCAACAGCATAGCACCTCACTGTTGGGTTGGTGTAATGGGAAGACAACAGCTCCAAGGAATCCTCTACATCCATGGGCTTCCACTTCCCCAGAAGTTCCAGTGCCTGTTTGGCCTCCTGAGGTAGATCCCAATTAACGCATTTCAAGAATTTTGTCAAAGCCTAAAATCAGGAAAGATTAACGACAGCCTATTACCTGGGGTTGGGGAGGTCAAGGATGGCTAGGCAGAGTTCCATGTGGTTGAGACAGAAGAGGCACAGAGTGAACAATAGACTCCTTATGTAAACGCTAAAAACATGATACATTTGATCCCAGGAAAACAACGCAGGGCAGAAAAAGAAAAAAGCATGTTGCCTAACTTTACATATCAAACTACTTTCAGAGCACTATAAATTTTAAAATTTCCTTTGGGTTTTCCTCAATATGCTTTTGTTATTTTAAAATACTGTAGGCCTCAAGACATGGAAATAGTTGAAGCATATCTTATGAACTCTGAGATGCCTTTGAGATGACCTTCACTTTATAGCCTGCACATGTGACATAAAGTAGGCAATGAATGAAAAAGTCCAAAGCCAAATGAGGCACTACTAACCCCATTCTTGAATGCTTCTTCAGAGTCTCTGGTTTCCTAGATGCTCACATACGTGAGGACTCAAAATAAATTGTTCTGTCTCTCTTCACAAAGTAACTATTTTAAAAGACAATAAAATAAAGATTCCACAGAAACAAGAATCAAAACAGATAAACACAGAAGCAATGGCAAATATTCTACGATTTCAGCTAGCTGTTTGCAGCACCTCACTTCTTTAAATAGGCAGCATATTGAAGTTTTCACCAGACTGTCAGGTAAGTAAATTACCTTGGAGCATATCACTCATGGTAAAGAACATACACAATGTTCTTTAAAGAAAGGTGCATACTTGTCAACAATTCAGCAGTTTTAGAAGTTTCCGGCAACTTTCAGCTCTTCCTTTGGTAGTTGCCTCAATCTTACTGCCTTCATTTAAATGATGCTCTTCTAACTGCCAAATGCTTTTGAGGGCATTCTTATCTCTACAACTGGTGTCTGCACTCCCAAGGCTAGCTATCCATTTCTTCTGCACATGCTGTGCATTGTTTATACAGTGTTCCGTCTTCAAATAAGAACACAAACTGCCACAGTAACAATCCATGCAATTGTTTTTCACTTCTAAAATGTATTTCTAGGTTGAATGTGGAAACAAAGCAATACTTCTTAAATAACTACAGCGAAAGGTTTTCCATTTCATAGTACATCAGCAGCATTAATAGAAACATGTGGCTATGTGCTTATCATAAGCAAATCTTGCAGCATGCTGATATCCTCAATTCAATAACTGAAACAATCTAGCTCCCAGATCCTCAGATTTATAGACTTATTAGTACGATTTATAGCATACACCACTGCCAAGAAACTTAAGGCACTATAGAAGGAATTCTACAACTTTATAGTGTTAAATGTTACAAATGTAAACAAGGAGATAGCAGAACGAAGAAAGAAACAAGGACAAGAGGAATGAGGAAGACCAAAGTATAAGAATCTGAGGATAGCGATAATAATGATACTTCATCTTAAATCCTTTCAAGATGCTTTACTGATGTATGTAAAGGCACAGCATTCAAATGTAATGCTATCCCTAGAGCTTCCACAGATAACTGGAGTGTATGCAGAAGCTTTAGAGCCAGTGTGTTTGGGATCAAGTCCTAACTCTCAGTTCCATCAATTATTAGCTGAGTTACTTGGGGCACATTATTTAAGTAACCTGTCTCCTAAGGTTATGGTGAAAATTAAATGTTATTGAATACAAATGTTTAGGACAGTACCTTCCTTGTACATGATAAACACTTGATGTTTATTATTTTATTATCCAATATTATTGTTATTCTATTTCTGTATGATATTGAGTCCAATGTCAAATGTTAACATTACTGCATTTATTACCATGTTTTATAATAATAGCAATCAATATTTTTGTTAAGCTCCCTTTAATCTTAGAATCACCTTACTGGTACCTCCTATTCTTACAATCATAAGCACAATCACTTCAGAGCTGAAAATACTGTATTTATCATATATATTTCTAATTTTAACTTCTACCGACTCAATTATTAGAAATTTTCACTTTGTTGCTAAAGGAAAACCTCTTTCTTTACTCAAGGCACTTCTGATACCAAACGTGTAGGTTTTCCACACCATCCACCTCCCTAATTCTCTGAGGACACCAACTGGGTGTCCTACAACTGAACTCAATTCTGACACTAACCACCTGGAATCAGTGCCGATTTCAAGGGCTAAGGGGTGGGTCTCACAAGAACACTTCCCATTTCAAAATCAGTACATTGGATCTCATAATTACGCCTCTTTTTCTCACTTTCAGCTCTGCTCCCATCTACTGGTTTGCCTTCCGTAAAACGTTACTTTTAAAGACACATTCTGTCACTTTAGTGGTTTCCCATTGCCAGTACAATCCAACTCCTGAGCCAGAATTCAAGGCTCATCACAAATGCACTCCATTTTTTCTATTTTACAGCCATTCATGAATGGTTCATAGACTGTCTCTATACATACCACTTAGTTCTACTCATGCTTTTCTTTCCCATGAGAAATAATCATCAAATAAAAAATACCACAAAAGCTTACTCAAAGACCAGCCTTTGCTTTGTGAAACCTCCTTTATAACACAGCCCACTGACCTTGTTCTGCTCCACATTTCTATTACAGTAGGTACTTAAATGTTTACTAAGAGAGTAACCCTCAATCTACTATTCTATACTTCTCCATTTTGATTGTCTTTATAAATACCATTTCCCTGAGACAGTTTAAGTTTATACAATGACAGAGAAATGACATCTTTAGCCCAGAGTTCTGAATTATACGTGGCCAAGAGTTGATAACAAATGCTTGCTGAACTGAATCCCTTCCCTCTTTGGTCTGCCACCAACTTCTTGCCAGGATGCAAAAATATGACTATGTCCTGCCAGTCCTGGCATCGCTGCCTCAGCAGCAGCCTCTTCAGGACATTCAGGGTATCCCTCTTACCTTCACCATAGATGACTCTTCTTACTGCACTTTTTCCAAAACAGAAGGAAAAGGCATTCAGTAAACATAACAGTAATTTTTTAATTAGTATTTTTATAAGAAGAAAGGCCATTTAACCATGGTATAAGCTGGTTTTGAAAAGTTGTAATATTCACATTTTGGGTTCCATAAAAATGAGTCACTTCTTAAATGCTATGGACCACAAATTTTAAAAATACTCCATAAATTTTACTACTTCTGTTTGGACAAAGCTATTGCTGTGACCTTTCTAGGTGCAACATCAAGTCTCAACTAGAGAGTTTTCACCTGAAGCACTGAAGGCTGGGTGTGCCAGCAAGCCCAAACACACCGCCATTTAGGAAAAATATAGGTGCAGGGGCCAAATTTAATTAAAGAATAAATAACGATAACTTTGTAAGAATCAATTTCTACCAATCTGTTTTATGATCACTGCTTTCTCTCCAGAAAATCTTTTTAGCCTCAGGGTCCAAATGCCAACTAACCTAAAGAAGTACTCCTGGGAAACTGACCTCTTTCTGTAAATAAATGAAGGGACGAGGATCCTAGTGTGTTTGTTTTCTACAAAACCCATTTTAAATTATTACAAAGATATAAATGTGGCTGTGTGAATAACTTCTCTGGTCACTTCAAGGCCAATATATCGAAAACTGCTTCCCAAACATTAAAAAATATCGTTCACTAGACCCAAGCAATCAAAAGAATCCTATAATATGTCCTGAGAATTGTAGTTTCATCACCCCCTTTTCGAAAACTTGAAATCAACTAGTTAAATGAAACTTGTCACATACTTAATATCACTTGAGCATTTTATTTCTTTTGCACATACCTAGAAGTAATTGAATTTCAGTGGGAAGTGACTACGTTTTAAACAAACAATTTTTCTTTTAAGCCTTTCTATCTAAGGCAGTGCTGCTCTGTAAATCTATTCTATGCTTCTTGAGCCTATGCATTCTAACAGTTTCATTCAATTTCTTGCTGTGTATTTTAGACAAGACTGTGCTACATTCAAGATACAATTTCTGTGACCAATGTTATTCTTCATTTAACAGAGTATCATATCCTAAATCAAAAATTTTAACACAAAATCACAACCCTGTGATTCTATTAATGACTATTTCCTTTTTTGTGATGAAGAGAATAACAATCAAAGCTATAGTAAATTTAAAATTCTTCTCTCATTCTTGTTATGGATATAAGGAGCTTGAAGATGATTCAGCTACAAAGAATTTTCAAAGGCCTCAATAAAAGATAAGAGAGGAAAAGCTGAAGAGTAAACATGAGCTGCAACTGGATTTTTATCTTTACTTTTGAAAGTAAGAAAATACAACTATTTCGGAAAAACAAGTTAAAGCAGCTAAAGACCATCTCATGAGATTGTAAAACATACTCATTCTTCCATAAATATAGAATAGCTTTCTAACAGATATTAATTTTCCTTATGCTTCTCTGTTTTGCCTCCAATGTATTTCATAATTTCTGCTAAGGCATGTGCATAATGCTGCAAATATGCAAATATTTTCTCTACAATCTTTTTTTTTTCTTCACTACCTTCATTCTACCTCATAAATATGAGCATATCAAGGAGCAGCACTGATAAGCTTTGTGATTCTGCACAGGTTCCTTAATCTAAGACTCAACTTTTCTCATCTGTAGAACAGCAGCAATAACACCTAAATTGTAGGGTTGGTGTGGGATATAAAAGGTCCCTGGCATAAACAGCTGTTTAATAGATATTCTTATTATATTTTAAGAGTTAAGTTTTTGAACCAATGTTCTAAAAATTTACAGACTACTTTAAGAACTAGAAGAGACTTAATGTTCACTATTATTTAATCAATTCATTATATAGAAGGAAATTAAAGCTTACACAGGTGAAATAATCTGCCTGCAGTAAACAGCTTCTTAGTGGCAATACTAAGAATCAAAACCAAGTGTGCAGGCTCAAGTCTAGTGCTGACTCCGTCATCAAAATTCCACCTCCCCAGAGACTTTATCTAAATCCATGGTTTCATTATGGAAAGCAAAGGTCTAGTTCCCACCTGGCCTCATCTTGTACTCCAAGCGGGCTGTCACTCTACCAACCCAATTAACAAATTTCAAATTATATTCTTTATATTCTCTCTAGTCACACTCCTCCAGAATTCTATAGTTCCTGTAATGGTGTAAATATTTTGCTAGTTAACCCAGGCTCAAAGGGATGGGACGAAAACGTATACTCTGCACCTACTATTCACCAGGTACTCAGCCAGGGTATTCACTTGTATTGTCCTACTTGTGAAGGAGGGTTTCATCAGAAAATTGAGGAAACCAAGTTTCCAAAGCAATCTGTTTCACCTTGCCTAGTAATAAGGAGTTGTAGTGCCAGAAACTACACCACGTCTCTCTGACCTAACCCATTCGGTCACTGTCTACACCTCATCATAACGTACATGTGCCTTTGTGTGGATATCTGTTTTGTTTTGTTTTTTAAAGGGAGTATCATATGCTGTTCTGTGATAAGAATTCTATTATTTCCCTAGCAGTTCTGCCTCATCTTGTTCATCAGCAACAAACTTGGTAGATAATTTGATATTTAAATATTCAAGAAACTTACTTTTTCTTGGTTAGTGAGATAATATCTAAACTTCCAAACAAGATCTTGTTCTTCATATGTAAGTTGCTTGGTTGGTGGATAACTCACAATAATCTGAAACAAAGGAAACAAAAACTACTTTTGTCAAACATACCCTTCCTATGTATTTCCATTTCATTTAAAATTTGTCATTTATCTAAATACTTCTATTATAGAACTACTATAGAACAAAGAAGAATGTGCACACAGCCTAGTATGACTTAAAGTTACTATATTTATCAATCCAAAAAGGATTATTAATAGGGTGTAAAGGGTAGAAAAAGGTAAGATGAAAAAGTCATACTCCCTATAAATGTATATAACTACAGAGCTAATTTAATTAAACCAAAGTAACTAAAGCCTCCTACCTCAAACATGAAAAGTCCAAACAATAAATGTTTCTCTTGTCACGTCAACATGCACAACAGTGCATGTGTGCTCACCGAGGCCTCTCTCAGGCCACGTACCAGAAGGCCAGTTTCTAAGAGTGTTATATCTCCAGGACACATACTCTAACTGAAAGCCCCGAAGTAATAATGAAACTACAGAAATTTGAATTTTTTTAAATTACTTTGGGTTCATTAATCAGCTGGGGGGACCATCTGAATAGTTTAAGTGCAGAGGTATCACAACCATTGTAACCAAAATCCCCACGTAATTATTTTTACATTAATATTTTATAAATTCTTACGTTTAGTTGATCTCTTGTGGCAGCATTAGGTTTGAGATCATGGTCAGAAGGTCCACTTCTTAAACTCCGGGCAAGCTTGTGATGTTTGCTCTCAACCAAGTTCTCCTATTAATTTTTTAAAAATATTAATCAACAATGTAAACTTCACCAACAGGAAGTGTCACTAGCCAGTTAGAAATAGAAAAGTAAATAGTTACTTAAGACCACTTTATAATACTTAATATTTTATTTTGGTTACAACTTTAGTCTCCTATGTTTTCAAAATACATCACCATTTTGAGATGAGGAAGCTATGCGTGCTTTACAGTTCACTAGAATATGCACATGCCATTCCAGCTCCTTAGAACATCTACCCCCCATTCTCCAGACAGTCAAGGTTTTTACATTCTCTCTCCACTCCAACATCTCTCTAAGATCTTCCCTGAAAACCCAGACTAGAGCGTTCCCTCATCCCACTGGCTACTAACACCTTATGATGCACTGTAGTGCTATCATCTTGGCGGTTTAACTTCCAGTAGTAACTTGAGGGCAGGGACAATGACCATGATATTTAATTAAATATACATATTTGGTGTTGACTATATTACCTAAGGCCAAAATCATTTGTTTTAAACATACTGTCTTTGTTTAAGAGACGTTTTATCTTATTTTTGCACCTGCGAATTGTCTGTTCGTGTCTCTTTCCTAATTCTCCTTTTTGGTCCTTTGTTCTTTCGTATTTAAGTTCTGTGTATATTAGATATTCACCCCTTTGTCTGTGATGTATGTCACAAAGAACGACATACAATTTATCAACTGTATCAAGAGTCACACTTTATCAATTGTCTTTTGACTTTGGTTTTGGTGTTTTTGCTACACAGTCAATTTTTTAATGCAGTCAAAATTTATCAATCATTTCTTTTCCTGCCTCTGGATTATGAGCCATGATTAGAAAGTTTTCTTCCCTACACCAAGAGTAAAGTACCAGTAAAAAAGTTTCATTTTTTAACATTTAAATCCCTGATTCATCTGGAGTTTTTCTTTATGAATAGTACGAAGTATAGACCTGATTTAATTTTATCTTTTCTAAATGGTTAATCAGTTCCCCGGCAGTATGTTTCAGTAAAGAAATGCCACTTTTATCATATACTAATTTCCATACTCATATTTACTTAGATTTATTTCTGGGCTTTTTAATCAGTTCCACCAATCTAACAGTGCATGTACAGGTGCTAGTACTGCACCTGAAATTATAGATATTTTAGAGTCTGGTTTTTTTGTTTGTTTGGTACCCTGTATACCAGCTCAGTGGCACTCAAAGTTACTTTGTTAAAATACACTCCTCTGTTTAGTAAGTAATCAAGGCTTCAAACTGAACTGACTTTTTTGAGCACAGGGGGTGAGGAGAGTAGTCTGCCTTTTTTTTTTAAACTTTTCTTTTGTACTTGCTTGCTTCATTTAAAAATTTAAAAAATTTAACAAGAGCCCTAGTTCTTTTTTTTTTTTTAAGTTACAACATCTATAATGTTTAAGCTATAACTGTTGAGCATTTTCTTTAGAAAAGAACGCACTCAATAAACAGACATCTCATTTACCTGACATTTTGGCAGGAGTGACACAAAAGTAGTATCTATGATTCCAGTATGACAAAACTTGTTTACTCTGGGCCATTTTGAAGGTAACCAGAGTGCCTTCATTCATGTGTTTCAAATACTCAGATTGCAAAATATAATTTGGTTTTATAATGAAAATTGAATTTCAAATTTAGATATATTGACTCAATTTTATTATGCTGTGAATAGGCTCCATAAAGGTATTTAGGGTGTTTGTTTCTAACAGACTCCCAAGCGACCTTTCCCCCTAACCTTTTCTATTCCTTCCCTATTTGTCTTTTCCTCTGATGTCAGGTCATCAGCCATTACTTCCTGCTTCATTGATCTGTACTTCCCTCAGTCACCATGTTTTCATCGTCCAGTGTGCTACTTTTTATTTTGGCCTTATTAGAAATGTAACTAATCTAATTAGAAATGCATAAATAAGAAGGAAATGGTTCAGAGTGATGCAAATGAGTTCTAAGTATGAATATCATAATATCTATTATGCTGTTAAAAGGATTTTTTTTTGCCCAAGAATTTTCTAAGTCTAAAGTCATCAATTAAAGTTGTTGCAAAGCAGGAATTCTTACTCTTTGCATCCATGAAATAATTATCATCTCAAAAATTGAAATAGGTCGGTATCTCGAAATCATCGAAGACATCACGATTCAAATTAAACAGTTGCAGTAACTATAGTAACCCCCCATATTTTGCAACTAACCCAGGCTCCCTAAAATTTTCATCCACTGATCTTATTACATCCTGGTATAAACCAATTCCCCATGCGTATGATGACAATCTTTCAAATACAGGCGCTTTTGCTTTATTGAATTTCCCAGATATTGCATTTTTTTTTAACTAATTAAAGGTTTGTAGCAACTCTGAGTCAAATAAGTCTGTAGGTACCATTTTCCAATAGCATCTGCCTTTGTATCTCTGTGTTGCATTTTGGTAATTCTTGCAATATTTCATAATTTTTCACTAGTATTGTATTTGTCATGGTGATCTGTCATCAGCGATCTTTGATGCTAATATTGTAACTGTTTTGAGGTACTACAAACCCACACATACGAGACAGCAAACTTCAGTGATAAATGCTGTGTGTGTTCTGACTGCCCCTCTCCCTGTCTCTCCCACTCCTCTGGCCTCCCTATTCCCTGAAGCACAATAATATTGAAATTCAGTCAATTAACAACCATACAACTGCCTCTAAGTGTTTAAATGAAAAGAGTCACATATCTTTCACGTTAAATCAAAAGTTAGAAAAGATCAAGCTTAATGAGGAAGGCATGTTGAAAGCTGATAGGCCAAAAGCTAGGCATCTTACACCGGTTAGCTAAGTTGCGAATGTGAAGGAAAAGTTTTTGAAAAATATTATTAAAAGGGCTACTATAGTGAATACATAAATAAGAAAGCAATAACCGCCTTATTGGTGATACAGAGTCTCAGTGGGCTGGTTAGATCAAACCAGCCACACATGTCCTTACACCAAATCTAATCCAGAGCAAGGTCCCAATTCTCTTCAATTCTATGATGGCTGAAAGAGGTGAGAAAGCTGTAAAGTCAAGTCTGAAGCTAGCAGAGGTTGGGGAACCAAAAAATTCATGTGAATTGCTACTGCGATATTTGCTTTATTGTGGTAGTGTGGAACCCAACACGCAGCATCTCTGGGGTGTCCTAGACCTGTTCCTCCCTGCGCTCACCACATTCCCTTGCTCTTTCAATATTCCAGATAAAATGGCTTCCCCACAATACACTGTCCTGACCTTGTTCTTACATGTTAATACTTCTTGTAAAAATACCATCTGAACTTGATTCCAGATAGCTGAAGTGGATTTATAAATCACTTTTAGATAGCCGAGGTACTTACAGATATATTTTTTAAAAAGAAAGTGCATGATATCAGTCTAAGTCATAATCACTCTGGAATGAATTGATAGTAACTCACCATAGACATCTGAGGGTCAGGAACTTTCACTATCTCAAAGCTTGTTAAAATTGGAGATGATTCATCACCATCCTGGGTTATAGTGCAATAAATTAAAATAAATAAGTAGATAGATAAATAAGTAAAATTTTAGCAACTGTTAAGAAAAAACACATGATAATGTACATTCCAATGTATTTTAATTCTATTTAATGAACATCCTTCCTTCCTTTCAAAAATTAATCTTCTTTCAATTATATTTTAGAATTCATTATTTTTTACCTTTTATTTTGCTGATGAAATATTTTAAGACAAATAAAATCTAACAATAAAAATTTATAATATAGTTTTTAGAGATAGGAGGTCTGGAAATCAGCAGACTTTTTTGTCTTTTTTTTTTTTAAACTGTGTTTTTAATGACAGTAGTCAAAAATAACATGTCCTAATGGTTAAACCAAGAATAAGAAACCACAGAACATAATTAAAATATGTTACAATGGGTAAGTTACATCACTTGCAAAAACTATTCAATGGATGTTGATAACTTCAAATTATGACAATTGAGTTCCATTCAGAGAAGCAGAATTTTAAGTGTGGGGTTAATTTTATTTGAATTTACACACAGCTTAGAGATTCAGAAGTACTGCTTCTCAGAGGGATATCTACTCAACACCATGAAAATCTGAATAATGAGAATCAATCAATTTTTAAGAAATAAAGCTGTCTTATTTTGTTGGTATTATCACTTTTGAAGAATGGTGGCTTTTATTTTTATCCAATTCAGGCAAGAAAGGTAATTCAGCATAATAAAATGTCACTGCATACATACCAGAAAAGGCTAAACTAATTAATGTCAAAATTCATTTGCTCACAATCGTACACCTAGAATCAAGTTTGTCAATTTCCAAATGCTACTATATTTTCAATATTAGATAATGTGCAACAAAATCAGGAGACTGAAAGAGGGGAAGTACTGTGACTTGACTTTAGTTCAGTAATTGAGTCTTAGAGAAAACCACAAATTCCCATAGCCGTTGTTTAACAGGCTGATTCTCAGTCACAACAATGGAAAACACATTTATCAGCCCAACTGGGACAAGTAATCTTCACTAAGGCTATCTGTCACAAAAGACAGGTGACAAGAAAGTCTATTTCCATTAGATTCAATACACTGGCCCAGCAATCTTTACACTAAGTGGAAATATGACAGGGTAGGTACACAGGCATTAATTTATAGGCAATTTCTCAAGAAGCAGTAGAAAGGGGTCAAGAACCCTTTAAAAAACACTTGAAATTCTTCTAATTTCTATTGTTACTTCATTATGGAAAGTGTCTTTTGAAAGATCCTTCACATCTTCCATGTTATAAATTTTCACCTCCATTAGCATGCTTTTGCAATATAAACTCCATATGGGCAGGCGCTATTGCTTTTCATGAAATTACATATGGTATAACATGTAAAACATAACATTATTAAAAGGCACTGGTGACAGAATTTCTCTCACCCACATTTCCCTCTCTTTATAAGGTCCTTTTCCTAAACACCAGTCGTCCTCTCTCTCTGCTTTGGGCAGCGGTTTGGCAGGAGCTGCCTCCCCTTCATGCTCCAGGTCCTCCTAGACCCCCTCATGGCTGCAACTCCCCGCCGGGCAGAGGGTTACCCAGAGGCCGGGCTCCGGGACCGCCACCTTAGCCTCACTCTCCCACCCCCGGCTTTTCATCTTTTGTATCACTTGTGTCACAAATTCTGGTAAATTAATAAACAATGTTAGTCTGTCTTTCCATCTTCTTTTTTCACTAGGAAATATCATTTATAAAATAAAAAAGTTGAAACAAATTAATGTTTCCTGATCTTTTACTAAAAGGAAGGGCTATAAGCTCAAGGGAAAAATATGAATATTAACTTGAAGAATTCCAGAAAAATGATCATAAATTAACTGTACAAACCTTACACTTCCATTATGGAAACATCCATCAAATAATAATTTATAGTTATAAATATATATATAATTAAAATCACTTATGACAGCTTTAACAAAGTAACACCAAAGTTGAAATGTGATTTAAAAGTGCTGCTTCTAAAGAGCAAATATATTGCATATAAGCTTGGCTATATGCTAGAGAAAATATTATTCTATTATGTCACGTATCAAAGTCTGTCCTTATTCGCATTGATTTAAGCATTTGTCTAAGTATTTCTACAAAAATTGCTAGTGCCTGGTTTACACTGTTTTGAATTATGCATACAATTATTTGTCATACTTAAATTAACCCTTCAACAAACATTTAAGGCACAGATATTTTTCTGGCAGCTACATGTCAAACATTCACTACTCTTCTTTTGCATAATGAGCTAACCAGTAGAATTCCAGAATTACATATGATATCATTTAGCCTGATAACATAATTTTCTTAATTCTGTACATACTATATAAACGCAGATTTGTGAAGTTTTTCATAAGCATACGTATGTTTTGGTCACATATAAAATTCCAATACTATATATGACACATACATATTTTATTAGTCTGCCCAGAAAAAGTCCAGCCATTGTTAATATAATGAGAACAGTTTGCACAATATCAATGTAACCTGGCAGTCAGGGAGAGTGGACTGGAATGCACGTACATGCACAATGACAACTTCACTGTACTAGTCAGTGGGGGTAATAGGTGCTGGTGAGTGAGCATGTGTACTGTGGGGCTGTGGAATTCAAAATGAGCGAGTGGAGCAATGAATCTGCATCAAATTTTGTGTGAAGCCTGAACATTCCTCCACAGAAACTATGTGGATGATTCAAAAGGCAGCAGCTATGGGCAACTGGTGATTGGCAACTTCAGCACAACAACATGCTCACTCATGCAGAGTGTTTTGGCGAAACATTAAATCACCCATGTGACTCAGCACCCCTACATCCCAGATATGTGCCCTGCGACCTCTGGTTTTTTCAAAATCTAAAATCACCTTTGAAAGGGAAGAGATTTCAGTCCATCGATGAGATTCTGGAAAATATGACTGGGCAACTGATCATGAATGGGGGAACAGTCTGAGGTCCTAAGGTACCTACTTTGAAGGGGACTGAGGTGTCATTGTCTTAGGCACAAGGTTTCTCTTATCTTCTTCAATATATGTCTCTATTTTTCAAAGTGCATGGCTGGATACTTTCTGGACAGACCTCCTCATATATACTCAAATAATCTTTAACTTTCAATAGCTTACCACTTAAAAAAATAGGATTCCCTCTTTTTACTTTTCAAGTGAATTTTAACTGTTACTAAAGCTATTGCTTTAATATCCTTTTTGCCAATTTTCAGAAAAATTAATAAAAAAATTTTAATCTCTTGCATGTTCTGTAACCCAGAGAACTGCACTCTACGAATGACTGGCTTTTGTAATCTTGTTGTAGCTACATGACTTGATTTGTGCATACATAAACAGCTGCTGATGACAGCTGTCTGCTGCTATCCTACAACCAAATAATTCATCTAAACAGGAACAGCAGTAATATTTTTAAATGTTTTCCCTCTCCTCAATTTTAGAGACCATAACAGTTCCAAGGCAAATACCTTTTCATAATAAACAATACCATATTCCTTATCATCGCACTTGACACATCGAAACTCAACCATTAAGTACATGAAATTTGAACTTCGTTTTTCACTCTAAAAAAGAAAAAGAGGATTTTTATGAAAAATAATCATCTTCAACATTCTCTTAAAGTATAAGGATATATCATTATTCCCAATTCTAAGCAACACATGGATCTATCAGGTACAAGTTAAATGTAACACATTTTCATTATTATAAATGCACTGTTTTATACACTCTACTATCTTATTATATATAGCACTATTCTTTTATCCAGTGGTGCCTAGTAGTCACTTACAACTCTCCTAAAACTTAGTGACATTGTTGGTTTATTCAGTAGTTTGGATTATATAAAATCCTGATGGTAATTTTCTATACATTGTGTGAGAGCTATTTCATTTTAAAAAATTAAAATTGTACTTCTAACAATTTTATATAAAGAACAGTTCAACCTTAAATCATATGATTAACCTAACTATAACAGTTAATACAAGTACGACAAAAACTAAAAGTTAAAGTTTCTAACTAAGGTCTGAGTCCTTCTGAACTTAACAGACATAACCTTCATATAAATTTTTCACAATTTATAAATGGGCTTGAGATTACGTGCAGTCATTTGTAAAATTTTAATGAGTTTTTTAAATATACTGATAAGCAGTTACTTTCTCAACATAAAAAATGATTCTGATTGTGTATATATTTGTCCCTTTTTAAAAACAAACAACAAATACTATGTTAATAAAGAAGTGAAAATCAGATGAAGTCTAAAAGGATTAGTCTTGCCCTCAAACACTTTTTAAAATGGTTTTAAATCTACATGTATAAAACCATAGAAAATTCTAAAGAGGTCACTTAAATTGTTCAGCTTTGTAAAGCATATTACAGTCTATTATGGTACGTAATGGTCTACTGTCTTTTAAGGAGCTGAGGTGGGGAGAACAGGAAAGGCTAGGAAAAGTAAGTCCTAACATTACATTTTCTATCCCCTGGGAACCTAAGTTAAAGAAAAAATAATAATAGCAAAGCATTTTGACGTAACTATTTTTCGAATATGACTATTATAAAAATTAAAAACAGGAAAGTTTTCTTCCAGTTTGAAAATATGTTGAACGTCGTACTATGAATAAATTGAAAAGATGCCCAGTATTCATACTGAATATAAATGGCGTTAAACACCACTAATTTGTTTTTTTTTTTAAAGGAACGTCAGAACGTAACATTTGCAAGTATTCATTATAAAAATAAAAAATTTTTCTTTCTATCTCTTGAAAACCTTCCAAAGAACAGTGACTGTAGTGGTCTCAACAAGCTAGGCATATCACAGAATTGATATTCCTCTTTCCTAATGTGATTAATATAATTGTTATTTATGTTCTCTAGATGCCAAATATTAGGCCAAACATGTAGTATTTCAGTGTAAATACACACAAAAAAAGAAAAAAAAATGATCTAACTTTTAGAAAGGTTCACTGAAGTCATCTTTTAATTAACCATATTCCAGACCAATACCTAAGATCAAGAAATAAATCAACTACTTGAACTATGCAACTTTACTAACGGTACAGAGTCCTATATTCTGGACATAAGAAGTATCTTAATTGGGCACAGGACTTGCTACAGACAATTTAAGGTAAATGCAGTGAAAAGGCAGCACTGTTGCTAGATTTATCTAATACTGATTTGAACTTGAACATGAGCTGCCATATGGAGGGAGACAGAATACACAAGTAGGCATCAAACTCACACAGGCTTCACTCATATACTTAGTGCACTTATAATATTCATAACCTACTTCATGGTTGGACATGACATTAAGATAAAAGAAAAGTAGATATCCCAAATTTTCCTCTTATTAGCATATAACTCCCTAAACTACATGGTATCTCAAAAACACCACATTTGTGAGATACCTGGCAATAAACAGTTCTTCTTGACTTAGATACTTGATAAAAAATTTTTGAAATTAAAAACAAACATAGAAGAGTGCCCTGACTGGTGTGGCTCCGTGGAGAGGACGTCGTTCTGCAAACTGAAAGGTCATCGGTTTGATTCCAGCTCAGGGCACATGCCTGGGCAGCAGGCCAGGCCCCTGGTTAGGGGCATGCAAAACGCAACTGATGAATGTTTCTCTCGCACAGCTATGTGTCTTTCCCTCTCTTTCTCCCTCCCCTCCCTTCACTCTGAAATAAATAAATAAAATCATTTTTGAGTAAAGGTATACAACCCACCTCATTTATCATTTCAATTTCTCTAAAGGTCAATCTGTCCAGCCAATCTACTTTCACCATGTGTCCTTGTCGATGGGCTTTGGTGAGCTGCAGAACAAATATAATAAAGAAAACTTTAACACAGATCTGACAGAAAGGAAGGGGAAAAACAGTGATACCCATCATTCCCTTTCAGCATCATACAGAAAGAACTAGCTAATATAACACAAGAGACTGGGAAGAAAGAAAATTGTCTTTGTTCACAGATGATATAATCATCTATGTAGAGAATATTAGAGAATATTTTTAAAAACCCTCTCAGAACTAACAGCAATTATAGCAAGGTTGCAGAATATAATGTTAATGTACTAAAGTCAATTACTTTCCTGTGTACCAACAATAAACAATTGGAATTAGAAATTAAAAACACAGAGGTATGTACAAGATATAAATGGTATCTCAATAAAACCATTATTTTTTAAAGAATCGTTTATATTTACCCCCCAAAAAGTAAAATTGTTACAAACCTAACAGAACATATAAAAAAATCTATATAAGGAAAACTATGAAAACTCTGAAAGATAAAATAAAAAACCTGAACAAATGGAGAGATATTCTGGTCCATGGATAGCAAGACTCAAAACTGCCAAGATTTCATTTTGTCCCAACTTGATCTATAGATTTAATGTAATCTCAATGAAAATCCCAGCAAGTTATTTTATAGATACAAAATGACTTTAAAATTTATATGGAGGAACAAAAGATCCAGAAAAGTCAACATAATATTGAAGGAAAAGAACAAAATGGGAGGGGTGACACTACACAACATCAAGAATAAAGCTATGATAATCGAGACAGTTTGGCACTGGAAAAAGAACAAATATATTAATGGAACACAATAAAGATTCTGGAAATAGACCCACATAAACATAGTCAACTGATCTTTAACAAAGCGGAGGTAATACAATGGAGCAAAGGTAGTCATTTCAAACAATGGACTGACTAGACACCCATGTAAAAAAAAAAAAAAAAAAAAAAAAGAATCAGTAGGCAGACCGTACACCTTTCAAATAGTTACCAAAAATGAACCACAGACCTAAATATATAACGCAAAACTATAAAACTCCTACAAGGTAACAGAGAAGAAAACCTAGATGACCTTGGATATGGTGATGACTTTTTGGATACAACACCACAGACATGATCTATGAAAGAAATCATTGGCTAAGAGGGACTTCATTAAAATTAAAAACTTTTGCTCTGTAAAGGGCACTGCCAGGAGATTAAGATAAGCCATTGATGAAAGAAAATATTGCAAAAGACTAATCTAATAAAGGACTGCCATTTAAATATTCAAAGAACTATTAAAACTCAAAAATAGTAAGTAACTGGATTAAATAGTGGGTCCTTAATAGACAACTCACCAAAGAAATACAGATGACATACGTGCATGTGAAAAGAAATTCCACATCATATGATGTAGTGTGGGGAGCACCTCCGTGGGAGGAGGGCCGCTGGTTGCAGCTCGTCCCGGGTCCAGGCAACAACTGGCGCAGGGGGGGCGGAGCATGTCGCAGGGAGCGCGGCGCTCCAGGATCTGAGGGTTACCGTCCGGGGCCAGTTGAGATGGGAGTGGGGACTATGAATCCCACGGAGCCCATCCTGGGGGTTTCACGGATGGGGGAATAAACACAAGTTGTCACAAACACTTCTCTGTTTGCCACGAGAGTGGACGTGGCACATCCACCTAGTGGGGAAGGCCCAGAGTCCCTTTGTTCAAAGGCTTTTATTGAAAGGGTTATCAGCGGGGCCAGGTAACAGGACCGCACAGGTTATCTCATAACCTGTGCACAGGTTATCAGTATGTTAAAGTTCACAGAGAATGGGTGATGCTTTGAAGAAAACAAATGGCAGGAACACACTGATTAACATGGGTCTGAGAGGAGACTAGAAAACAAGGGAGATGACTAACCACGAGAGTGCAGTAAACATGAGAGCGCCTAAGAGCATAGGGTTAGGGTCCGTGAGTAATGTGAATTTCCTCTCAGCATGAGCTGGCTAGAGCTTCTGAGGGAAGAACAAAGTATACTTTAAAGATTTTACTCTTAGGCCCGATTTCCCTGGGAGATTTAGGATGGACTCGGGTATTGTTTCAAGCCTGAGCTAGGAGTCGGGGAGGGAACCGCCAAGAGACAAGGAGACTTCGTTTGGATGGAATGAGGACTCCGGCCATGTCCAGCCCCGGCTGAGGGGTGTGGGCCTTTCTGCCCTTTCTCCGTGTCCCCCAATTTCTTGTCTGCCTCCCGTACCGGACGGTATCTGTCTTAGGTTGTTATCTCTGCGTGAGATAACTTACCCATCATGGCACTGACCATCACAGGGCAAAGCAGAGATAACTGCCGGGGGCGGGGGGGTGGGACCAACACAGCTTATATCTCCTCAGGGGCCTGTTTCTCCAAGGCCTTCTTGATCATTTTCAGCCCTGGGCCCCTCACACCTGTCGGCGCGGTTACAGTTCCTGAAACCAGACAAGGTGTTTCCCAATAATATGATTCAGAAAAATGCAAATTAAAACAAGATACCCCTAAACACCTATTAGAATGCCCAAAAGCTGAAATACTAACATCACCAAATGCAAGTGAGGATTTGAAACAATAGAAACTCATTCATTGCTGATAGGAATGTAAAATGGTACTATTTTGTGAAGTTTCTTACAAAACTAAACATAATCTTACTATATGATCCAGGCATTGCGCTGGTATGTGTACAAATGAGCTGAAAAATTTTGTCCACACACAAAAATGCCTACATATAAATGTTTACAGAAGCTTTATTTATAAGTGCAAAAACCTGGAAACAACTAAGATGTCCTTCAGTAGATGAATGAATAAACTGTGGTCCATCCAGACAATGGAATGTTGTTCAAAACTAAAATAAAATGAGCTATCAAACCATGAAAAGACGTGGAGGGAAAAAAAAGAAAAGCCACACAGGAATCTTAAATGCATATTCCTAAGTGAAAGGATCCTACCTATCTGAAAAAGCTATATACTGTATGATTCCAACTGTATGACATTCTGGAAAAAATAAAACCATAGAGACAATACAAAGATAATTGGTAGGTAGCTCAGGGTTAAGAGGGGAAGGAAGGTTGAATAGGTGAAGGCCTGAAGATTTTTAGGACATTAAAACTACTCTGAATGACACTATAATGATGGACACATGCCATGATACATTTGTCCAAGCCCACAGAATGTAAAACACACAGAGTGAACCCTGAAGTAAATTAGGGACATTGTGTGATAATTATTTGTCAATGTAGGCTCATCAATTTTAACAAATGTACCACTCTGGTGTGGAATGCTGTTAATAGGGAAAGCTATGCATACGGGGCGGCGGGGGGCGGGGTGGGGAGCAGGAGCGTAGAAGGTATTTGGGAAATCTCTGTACCTCCCTCTTAATATTGCTGTGAACCTAAAACTGCTGTACATCTGGTACCTCCCCATACATAAATAGAAACCATGCACAACTATCGTAAGAAAAACTTATCAACTATCATGAAAAACTTGGCTAGTAACTCATCATTATGTTTTCTTAACAAAAACAAGTTTTAAAACAATGTTAAATGTCCACAATTTGCCATCTAAACATGCTTTTAAAAAAAGTCATTTTCACTCACTGCAGAATTCATGTTTGTTGCTAATATATATTACTTCCTATATACCATATTTCTAGCTTTCCTGTATGAATGCTTAAGATGGCCATTCTCAACCTTATCAATGGCAACCAAAGAACATATGGTCAGGATAGTAGTACCACAAACTGGTAAAGCCATTCTGGAGAAGTTTAAATGATCCTAGGTACTGTCACATTTGTGCATCATTCTTTGCAATACTGAAAATTTAGACATAAAAGAATGTAAATGTCTGTCAACAGTGGGAACTGTTAAGTAACTATAGTAAACACACACTAGGAAATAGTACAGTCAAAACGAAAGGAAAATCAATAAACCCTGGTAGGGAAAAACCAGTACAGTACAGCTGAATGCAAAATCAGCTGCAAAGTAAGAGGTGCGAAAACCTTTATGCTATGACTGTTTACAAATCTGCCTCCTGCTCCAGACTCTGAAACTAAAAGCAGAATTTCTAGATACTTCTCTCCTTGAATTAGTTTTATAATTTCTGCAGGACTGGAGAGCTACCACTCAGAATGTCCCCTAGCCACCTGTGCTATTTACCTTCTACTGTGTAATAAAGCACCCCAAACCTTAGTGCCTCAAAACAACATCCATTTTATTATTTCTCATGATTCTTGGAGAAATCAAGAGGTTATGTTTTTTGAGGGATGTTTTTATTTTTTTTCTATTGGTATAACAGCATCTCATGAAACTTGTCATTTGGTGACTGAGGCCTCACTCACGTTACGAACACATTTGTGGAAAAGAGTGGGCTCAGCAGGGAGACCTGGGCAGTGGGCCTTTCTCTTTCTGCGCCTACTGTCAGTGCCTCTCCCTCTTCAAGGGGTCTTTCCAACACGGCAACGGCACCTCTTACATGGTGGCTTGTGGTTCCCAAAACTGCAAAACCAGAAGCAGTCAAGCTGTCTTAAGGGTGAGGCCTAAAACAGGCATAGCATCACCATATTGGTTAAAATGAGTCGCAGGGCTAGTGAAAATCAAAGGCGGAATGGTGTGAATGTTGCGAGGCATGTTTCATTGAGGACCATCGAATTTAGGAGACTAAGTTCGAGCATACAATACAGCTAATTGTATTAGCTGCAACTGCAAAAGAGCAAAGAGAGTGGGCTCTGGAGCTGGCAAAGCCATCTCTTGGCTGGACTTTGGTCAAGAGAGAAAGTCTAGAATTTGCTATCATAATTCCTACATAATTGGCCCTTGCCTTCCGCTCCAAAATAATCTTCTACAGTTCTCCAACTGACACGCTACACCCCAACCACCCTTTTAAGTTCTTCAAACCGTAAAGCCTTTTAACTTTATGACTTAATGTTGATTAAATAATTAAATATTGGATGAAAATATTTTACTAAAATTTATTAGACTTTTATAAGACTGTAAGACACTACGTGAGTTATTAGCAGCGAGTATAAGT